ACGGGCGGGTATGTCGGTGGGGGCGACAATGGCAGTTGTGGGAATGCGGGTGCTAGTGGCGGTGGCGGTAGTGGTGGCGGTGGTGGGGGGGGCGGTGGGGGGGGTGGGGGCGGCAGCGGAGTTTCCGGTGGTGGTGGCAGAGGCGGAGGCGGTGGCGGTGGCGGTGGCGGTAGTGGTGGCGGTGGTGGTGGCGGTGGTGGCGGTGGAGGAATTTGCGGTGGTGGTGGCGGAGGCAGAGGCGGTGGCGGTAGTGGTGGCGGTGGTGGTGGCGATAGAGGAATTTGCGGTGGTGGTGGCGGAGGCGGCGGTGGTGGTAGAGGGGGCGGTGGGGGCGGTGGGGGCGGTGGGGGCGGTGGGGGCGGCGGTGGAGGCGACGAAGGTGGTGGTGGCGGTGGATGCCCAGTTGGATAGAGCGGTGGCGTGTTGCTGGGGAAGAAAGGTGGCTGCGGCATCCCAGGGGGGATTACGAACGGGTACTTGCCGTCCGATCCAGGGGCGGCTGGGGGAGGCGGCACAGGCTGGGAAGCCAGTATGGGCTGACCCGGACCATTATCGCCTGTGAGAATTGTTGGGAGGCAGAAAAAAGATCAAGTTAAATATATAATTTACAGATCAAAAACGTATTCACGTTCTCTTGCCGTCTTTGGGTCACTAGCGGAGTCATGGTTGTGATGAGGGCAAGTCAAGGAAGCTCCGCACATTTAACCATGAGCTGCTTCAGGAAAGGTCAGGATCTCTCCTGTTATTATGGCTCAATAATTGCAAGTCGGTATTTTGAGTATAGCAGCGTGTGCGCCGTTCCTATCGCTGATTGCGCCAATTTGGGCTAGGGAGCCGACGCCTTCCCCAGCGCCCAAGACCCGACAAAAATGACTAAATATATTTCAAAAAAATGGTATAAGGTGACTGGCTTGGCTGCTGGCCGCTACATAAGCTCAGGCTGCTATGAGCTCGCCCGCCTCCGCCCGCCCTCAACCGCAACCCTCGGCATACCTTGAAGCAATCTTCTTGCTTCACTTGCTCCAGTACAACTCAGGGTCTGGGCCAAAAGTGAAAAAACTAGCGCGTGGGCTAAGGTGCTCCGTGACACCATGCTGATGTTCTACCTTCGGGCAAAAAATGCTGAAGTCGTCACTTCCAAGGCGTGTAGACCTTATGCGGTTTCCATTCTTGTATGTTATGTTTCAATTTCAGGAGATTCCAATTTTCCTAGTCGAGCACCACCGAAGGGCGAAGCCAGCCGTGTCCTAAGGAGCGGTGTGCAGCACTTGTAGGGCTCAACACCCCCTATGCGCGACTTCACTCCGGCAAACAGCGCACTGGGCGTTGGACTAAGCGAACGGTAGAGGACGTACGGGCGACACGGAAAAGCGGCCCACATGCCTAAGGACTAGGAAATAGCTATCAAGACATGTTCATGGCAGCCTGGCATAATGTGAACTAGCCCCTTTCATGCCCTAGTCCAGTCCGCCTGAACGTTCTTGGGCCTGCATGGCTCAGGTCCGTACGCAAGTCGGCAAGGAGCGCCTTGGAAACATGCATTCGGGCACTGGGGCCTTGAAATAAGCATAAATATCATACGATTCCATTACTGGAGTATCAATTTGCTAATGAAATGGCGATGGTGCCTTTCGAACCCGTTTCGTGCGAACACTGGGTCCACTTTTCCCCAAGAAAAGCCTACCGCTCCATAGTTTGTGACTTTGATATTACATTAGTTCATGATATTTAATCTCGAGTAAATTTGTCCTGGTTTCGGTGGGGTCCTGTGACCTGAATTCAAGGAAGAGCTCTATTTCAAGGCGATTTCCAATTACAAGGACTTGCGCAACTATTATTGACAATAAAAATCATGACTGTTTCAGTTAGCAATAAAGTGGAGCTTCAGAAAGACTAAGGACGTTTTCCATATACGTCCTAGGTCGGGCCTGGGTAGTTGAAAGTCAGCCTGAATATTACGCGGAGTGAAATGTCCCAGAACACGGAATAAAGCGTTTCAGTAATATGTTTGGTGTATGCTAGTAGGCTCTTCAGAGCCAAATATCCGGCAGGTCGGATCTAACCGGAGGAAGGATTTACCCGAGGATGGTACGACAGGCGGCTGTACGACAGTACGGCAGGACCTGTATCATGTACGCTTCACAAGTAATAATTATATATTAGCCGCTGCCTTAAATAAATTAATCACTGAATACCGCATCACGTCGCGCGTATATCACGTTTGGAAACGGAGGGAGGATTTGGAGCCTTTCACCGCCCCCGCCGCCGCCTTTCTGTGTTTCTCAGCATGTAAAAGAGGACAATTTCTGCTCCCTGGTCATCTGTCTTATCCCGAGAGGGCCCGGATTGACCTCCGTACACTTCAGACCATGAACTTTGGCGTCCTTCGTACTTTGTACGTTTGGCGTGCCCCACACTTCGTACACCCATGCCTTCGGAAACCCAACCGTGCGGGAGTAATTTTTTTATTGCTATGACATCTTTTTGATCACATTGCAATTTGTATGAGGAAGGAGGCTAAGAATTTACGGGACGCTTCTGGAGAGTTGCAGATGGTAGGATGCATGCTATGGATGCTCCGCTACGTGTGTATGACTGCCAACCTTTTGAGGTGCATTCATGTCAATGATGTGGCTCCCAGGAGTACAAGGCATGGCAGGGTGAAGAAACGCCTTCAGTTGGGGTTAGGCTGCATCAGCAGTCCCATGCTCTTCGGTGCCTCGCGGGCAACTTCCCTGTGTGCGCACTCCGAACTGCTGGCAACCTGCTGCTTCGCTTCACACACTGGCGAAGTGCGCAACTTGTCACCTGGCGATGGCAACGCCTCACAGTTGGCGCCCCTTATTCCTGGAGCTTTCGCTGGACGCTGCTGCCGCTGCTGCTGACTTCCAGGGTGAACCGGGTCTGCTTTCCTCGCTGAGCCCGGGTCTGGCCGTTTTCGTTGCGCGGAGTGGAGGGCGAAATGGGAGGGGGCGAGGGATGGTTTGTAAAGTGCTTTGCGGCTTCGTCCAAGCCGGTGTTTTGCTGGGCAGGGTATTTCGACACTCATGGGGGTTTTCTCATTGCTCCTTGCCGAGGTGTTCTTGCTCCGTCGAGAGGGATTGATGCTGTGCTGTGCGAAGGCCTTGAGGAGCCTACGTCATGTCCAGCTGGTGTGCCGTTTGTATTCGTTTTTCCTTGGAGAGATATTTGTATTTGTTGGTGCTTACAGCGTCTGCTTCCTGTGTCGGTGAGTTTATCTCCACTTCCTGCTGTGTATGATCCCAATGAGTTTCCCTCCTTTACTGCTTTGCGATCGATCGTCACTTCTTCCTTTTGCTTTTGGCATGTCCTTATGGGATTGTGTCTTTTGAGCTGCCTTTCCTGAGTCTCTTCCCTTGCGGTGGAATCCCCCCGGATATCCCTTGTGTTCTTCGTGACAGCGTGTTGGTCTCGCCTTGCGTAGCGCGCGCGGGTGCAGGTGGATTTTGGAAGGACGGTTCCTGCTCAGGGCTTTTTTCCCCTTCCCATGGGTGGTCCCCTTCATAATACAGTAAATCCTTCACATCTCCGTTACTTGTGCGAGGTCATACCATGCGGCGGCGCCTGGAGGCTTCTTGGAGCCCGCTAGCATTGTTAACGGACTAGTGCTGATGCAAGCAACCGCAAGCAGACGGCTCAAATGCAGTGCCAGCTGCGCGTAGCAGTTTGCCGTGAGGGAGGGACGTGGGGTAGGCGGACGGACCTAAACTGCCAGATTTGTAAGGCTTTGCAGATGTTCGGACAAGTTAGTGACTTCTACAGTCGGGGGTTTGGTCGCCCGAACGAGACGAAAAGGAACGACACGATTATGGGGATGTAGAAGGAGCTGAATGGCCTGGTCGCCCAGTTCAACAGTATCCGCCTCGCTGATCGAGTGGCCACTGTGGCTTTAGAGCCTGGGGGTAAGATTTTATGGAATAAATGGTTCACCGCGTGTTTAGCAGACCGTCATGGCGACGACGGTCTGTGACTGCCAGAAGTACAGGAATCACAGTAAGGCGTGCCAAGTAAGGCGTGAAGAAAAAGCGTACCGCATAGCGAGGGCAATTAAGTCTTGGACGCGCGCAGGTACCAACCTTCACGTCCCGGGACCCACCGGCCTTTTGCGATGCGACGGTGCGGGACTGCGTGATGGTAATACGATACATACCATTCAATACCAAAAGGTGCAAACAGTTTGCATTCTGTTATAGTTCTACGCGTCCTTCTGGGGGGCTAGTCAGCAGCGCGCGTGTGTGTGCGTGCGTGCATGTGCATGTATGTGTGTATGTATGTGTGTGTAGGCCATATGCTCATGTACGTAAGTCGCGCTAAGATATCTATCCTCTGAAAGACATCAACCGTGCGATTTGTATTCTTAGTATACGTGTTTACCAATGGAATGAGGAGCCTGCGTGGAGAACTTGCTGAGGAGTACTTGCTGAAGGCATCCAGGCAACTGGCGCCTTATTCAACACGATGCACCTCACCAAATCCTGTGAGTTAACGAACGACGTCACCCATGGCTACTGTGTTTCCAGATGGGAGCAAAACTACTTATTATTGTGTTTCAGAGATGTTTAAGCTCCTTGTTTTCGCTTGCATGAAACCCGCATCCGCGGCAACTGTTGATGTCAGATTAGTTTTCAGGTCTCCCTTGGTTGGTGTATGAAAAGCGTGTGCAGCGGCTGCAATCGATGTGTAGATGTAAGTAACCGTTAGGCGCAATAAGCGAAACGGATCGATTGTCGTGCGTGGCGTTTCATGCATGCCAACGTCCAACTGCTGTGCGCCACAAAGAATGGGCAATGACACTGTAGGATTAGTGTTGCTGCACAGGCCAATGTCTAAACGTCGAATCTTGCCTGCCTCTGCCACACTGCCTCGACCGGCCTCCAAGTGCAGCGCTTTCAAAGCTAAATGATGTTGTTAAAAAAAGTAACAATAATTTCCACATGCTCATGTTCTGGCATGAGTAGGATGTCCTCTGAAGATATTGCCTAACATTACACAGGGCCGACCTGGCCGACCTTCATCAGCAGTCTGACAGTCGAAACATTCGGCCATGCATACCGTAATATCCCCCCAACACCCTTCCTTTCCAAGTGCTGAAATGGAACGTACGTCGCGTACAGTGGGCGACTTCCTTACTGTGCTTCTTGGCTTGGAATTCGGCACGGATATGCATAACGGATCCGTAAGCACAACGGCTATACTCAATTATTTCCTCTCGCATACATATCAGCAGAATATAGGTATCCATCTCATATTTATCTCACGGCAGGGCTCTTGACTCCTTGCGCAACGTTCTTTGTTTGTGCAGTTGTGAATTTCATAACGTCACTCCATAGCCAATCAGAGCTGCTTTACTTATGGATTATGCAGGTTTGTTCCTATCTACGCACGCCAAAACGCGAATGTCCGATGCTTTACTCATCCGCTCCGAAAACATGGTGCTCCTTTAGACGTCACGCTGGAGGCAAGGCCAAGCTCTGTCGGTGCATCGTGGTTAGCATCGTGTAATAAGTACATAGAGAAGTAACATTCGGTGTACATGTAGTGCAAGATCCCATTCTACCGCATACCCCAAAGTGCCCTGATTACAACCCTGTTTCACCGGACGAATGTAAGTCCCAAGGGCTACATAATCAGAGTACGATCACGACTAAAGCGCTGTCCGCAGAGTTCGAGTGGGGTGAAACAGGATGTCGTTGCTGAACCGCTTTACGAGGACCTGTGCGCTCGGAGAGGTTGTGCAGCCATGGATTTACGCGGTCACTCCAGCAAGGAGTGCCTCACTTCACACCTGGAGGGCCCCTGGACCTGTTCTCCCTCTGTTCGCGCGAGCCAAGACTCGCGGCATAACGTGGGCGGTCTCTGATTAACTGAACGGGCTCTCGCAGGAAATTGTTCCTTATGAGCGGGGAGTGCTTGAGGCACGCATGGGGCTACGTAGTGTTACCGCAACAGGGGCCGGAGCATCAACTTGCACATCCGGAGCCTTTAGGACAACACCCACAATGTGTCTCTATGGCTGCCGCCATGTCCACCCCGAAGCATCGGTCTTTTCCTGCCGCATGCTATCGGTTCAATTGCTAGCTGACCTAGACGGCCGAGATTAAATCGGGCGCGCCCCCGCGTCCCTTGTTCCTTGTCCATGGGCCCTGCGCCACGGCACTGCACGCCCTCTCCCGGGTCAGTGGGTGGTGGTGCTCCCGGCCTGCCCACACTCACAAGATCCGACAAGTCGTCCGCTGCCGGAGCCTCCGTTACAGTACCACCAACGAGGCGGCCGTGACTGAGCTGGCAAGTCGTCCCGAGGCCGCAACACCGCCTGAAACGGAACGTGCTACGCCCCTTGCTGCCACTGTTCGGTGAGGGAAAATGCCTTTAGGAACCTGTTATCGTTTCTGAGGGGAAAGCGCCGGAGCGAATGCGCTGGCTTGGGTTGCCGCTTTGGGTTACAACATTCCCAAGAACATTTTTGACGCTGGGGCCTGGTGGCGGGTTCCCTGTCCGCTACGGCCAGACCTTGGTTTGGCATATTCGGCAGTCCGGTGTTCTCGCTCCGGCAGTGTCCTGTGGAACCAATCCATGGAACCATGGGTCGGTTGCGCCATACAAGCGTGAATCCGCCCTGGTGGCATGTTACTGTCCCTGCGGCTGTTCCTGCTGAATGGGTAAGCATGTACACGTACATCCGTTCTTACGTTCATGTACTGCCACAGTCATGGGCTCGTGGCTGCCTGTCACCCAGGTTCAGTCCAACCGACCCGCTGTACCCACTTACCGCCCGACTGCAGCCAGGCCTGGCACCGCCCCGACGTGGCAGTAGTGCTGGTGCACCCGCAAATCCCGCAGAACACCGGTAATGTGGCAAGGACGTGCGCTGCGACCGCAGCCCCGCTGCACCTGGTGGGGCCCTTGGGCTTCCAGCTGGACGACCGCAAGTGGGTTTGGTTTCGGAGTACGCGCGATGACCTGGTTACCAGGGGAGGGACAGCATCGGGCTCACGAGCTGAGTGGGCTGACCTGGGGATTTGTTAGCTAAGGGGGGTTTGGGTCACACCTCACAGGTACATGGCGACGGTGGTTCCTGTTGGATTGCGGTACAGGAAGGAAGGGGCAAAGGCCATGGGGAACTTGACTTGGGGACATGGGCCTGTCGCTGAGATGTTTTACCGACCGTCCGGGTTAAGGAGAGGAGAGCGGACCTTCCACACATTGCCACCATTGACCACATGTGCTGGTGGCGGCAATGTGTACTCGATAGTGATGGGGTTTGGTGTGCATGCAACAGACATACTAGCACACGGCGTCACTTAACAAATGCTCACCTACTGTCGATGCACTGCTTTAGCCCCCTGGTCATGCCCGGTGTCTCAGTGCTCCAAGGTAATTACCAAATCTAACGCGGGTTCGCTGTAATGCTATAACCGGGGGAATTTGCCTCCACATCAGCACCAGTCCGTTGCACAACTAACCTCCGTACCGGTGACACAGGCTGAAGCGAGCCGGCCTGGACTACTGGGACGCCGTGGCTGTGAACACGCACAGCTCCTGGGATGCGTTCTTTGCCTTCTTCCAACAGCTGCCGAATCCAAAGCGGCTCGTGGCATTCACCGTGTACGGCGATAAGTACTACGCAGGACCAGGTGTGTTGCTCACAAGAGTCAGGGCCGCCCACATGCGCCCGCCGCTGTAATGGGGTTAGGAAGGCCAAGAGCGTGACCCTCCGGTTGTAAAAGAGCAGACCATGAGGGCAGGGTATGGCAGTCCACTGCCACGCCAGGTCATCCCACCCCTGCCAGGGACTAGCGTATTACCCTAAGAAGTCCCGCCAGAACCCTCGGGCATTTCACCCTGCCCCTTATTACTTGTGTGCTCTGGGTGCGACAGATCGTGCAGGAGCTATTATTTAACTGCGCCGTGATACGGTCCTTGGTGTATGGGTGTTGTGACCATGTCCGACAGAGTTTTCGTATCAGCCGGGGGATTGGCTGGTGTTTGGGGCGGAGACGTCAGGGCTTCCACCCAAGGCACATTCGGACGTGTTAGCCTCCGGGGGCTGCCTAGTCAAGATACCCATCCGGGACATGCATGTGCGTTCCATCAACCTGTCCGTGGCTGTGGGTGTGGGACTGTTTGAGGCAATTCGCCAACTGGACGAGACAACAGGTATGCACACGGGTCGCGAGGGTTAAGGTAATGGTCTGCACCTGTTTGCGCTTCCGTCCCATTCCTTAGGCACCTGGTTGCACTTGAACTGGACTCACGGGTTTTGACTAAACAATCGTCAATCAGTAGCAATTATACGTAGGATGATGCTTCTCATGCCGTTGTGTTCTGCTACGCAGGGTACATTGTGACGCCCCGTCAGAGCCCAACGCTGGAAGAAATTGCAGAAACATATCGGGATGGCAAGCTACTAGGATCTAAGGCCGGATTATTGTTGTAAAAAGGACGGTGTCAAGTTAGTTCCCTATCACGACCACTTCACCTTTAGCACACAGGCTATAATGGGCAACAGCTAACGAATTGGGCAATAAGCCGGAAATCGACTAGAAAATTTTCCAAGATCCTTGCTGCAGGTTCCAAATTAGAGAAAAGCTCATAACTTTGTTCTACCACGTGTAAGCTGGAAATGATTGCACAAATCCGGCAGTGATACCTGTTATTTCAGGAGGCTTAACGAACGCATCACACCCGTCTGGGTTGCTTACATGGGAGCTGCCTTGAAAGAAGTCTTCAGCAAGGGGAGAGAGCACATCATGCCATCGAATCGGCGGAATGCTTGGCACGCGACCGCTAGCAGGTGGCAGGCACAATACGTCCTACAATCACCTCGGCCACGACAGCCTAAGACAAATCACCAATACACATGAGCAGCAGCACCATAGCCATCCCGGGGAACTTAGGCCTTAATGCGGCCGTAGGTCTTGAGCTTCTCCTCGGTGGTCTGGAAGCGGCCGTGACCGAACTTAGAGGCAGTGTCAATGAACTTGAGCTTGATCTCCTCCAGAGCGTTGCGGCTGGTCTGGGGCAGAAGCGAGCGCCGCAGGGTGATGGCCCGCTTCTTGGTGCCCGGCACGGCACCCTGGAAAAATGGGGAGGAAATGGATGAAAGGGGCGGAAGATTTGTAAGCGACAGTATTAGCTTCGACAGCAAATTCCAGAAACCTCATGCATGTACTAGCTCATACATGCCAAGACTCGACAGTGTAAAAAAACACTGGATATATTCCAGTAGAAACATGTCCCAGGCAATGGATCAGCGGGCAACACTCAGCAGCTGCCGGCCGATGGAAGGCCATGGCTTTTTAATATGGCAGCGTGAAATGAGCAGTAACATCGGGCATTTTCCAATCGGGCCCGCCTGCAAGAGGGTATCACTGCCTTATCATAAAGTTGTGACTAGCTAAAGAGCAGCGTCGAATCCCACATACTGGACCATCCTGCAAACGGTCCCACCTTGACCATGATGTAGTCCTCGTTGACCACGCCGTAGTGAGGGAAGCCACCCATAGGGGTGATCTCCTTCTTGGTCACATCGAAATCCGTGGTGGCCAAGTGCGACGCCTCGCCCTTCTTGCCGATCTTGTAGACCTAAAAGCACACCGAAAAGCGGCGCGCACACAAGGCAGCCAGGCCGATTAGTCCTTTCAAATGACAACAAAAATGCAGCCTGTGCCAGTATGCAGAGCAAGGACACCCCTTGGGCTCCAGACCATATTACTGCCCCAAGTACACGCATCATACATTTCCACTTATTAAATGGCTCGATATATGCGAGCGCATTAGGAAGGCGGACTGCTCTGTTCTCCCATCAAAGAAATCCTCCCGTTATCCACGTAGGCCACAGGCCCGAGCCGTCCGCACCTTCTTGTTAATCTCGGTGCGGTGGTGGAAGCCCTGCTGACCGGCGCGAGCCACGGTCCACTTGACGCGGGCCGGATGCCAAGCACCGATGCAAGCCACCTTGCGCAGACCACGATGGGTCTTGCGGGGCAGGCGGGTCACACCCCAGCGCTGCACGACACCCTGGACACCGTGACCCTTGGTAATGGCAATCGTGTCAATCATCTCGTTGGGCTGGAACACAGCGTCAACGGAGACCTGCTTCTCGAACATGGCATAGGCGAAGTCCACCTTCTGCGCCACAGTGCCGCCGTTGACCTGGAGGGAGAATAAAACGAGAAACACTTATGTCATAAGTTCGCAATCGTAGCAAGGGGGAACATTGCTATAAAACTGTAACAAGCAACCAATGATGTATGGCCATGAAGCTGGCAGTGTTCATATAGGCTATAATTACCCTGAACCCAGAATTATTCCCCTGCCTCTCGTGTTCAAAAAACAAAGTATTCAGCTCGGCAAAAGCCTGGATGCCTCCGGACCCACCTGGATCTCAATCAGGTGAGCCTTCTTCTGGCCGAATCCCAGCTTCTTGACCTGAGTGTGAGCCAGCACACGAATCACGGAGCAATGCTTCTTCAGGCTGGCCAGCTCAGCCTCAATCGCCTTCTTGCCGTCCGAGTACTTCTTGGCGTACTTCGTAAAAGCCTTCTTCTTGGACTTGAACCAGTTCTTGTAGAACCTACATCAAACACGAGGAGGTGAAGGGCCAGATTCAAACTGTTGACATGAAACATTCGCTGCATCGAAAAAGCAGCGTACACACCGGGAGAGCACATGGGTAGGCGTTGATGCTATTGACTCCTTATTTATCAACAATGCTACCGTAATGAAAATGTCTTCCCACGGGTCATTGGCTAAGCGTTCTTCTTATAACCTCCTAGCTCCCATCCCTTTCCCGAGTGGAGCTTATGGAAGACCTACACGCACACAAGCCCCTGAAGCCCAAAGGAGCGTGCTCTGACGGTGGATAGGTAGAGGACATGATCATCCTGCCCGAAACACACTTGATCCATGACTGGGATTAACCCGTATAGCCCCGGCAGCCCCGTCGCTTACGCCGCACCTGCGCTTAACCTCCTCGCTCAGATGCTCAGCCCAGACCGTATTCAGCGACCGCAGACCGCGCGGGGTCTTCACGTAGCCGACCACGCCGACCACGACCATTGGCGGGCACTCGATGATGGTGACCGGCTCGCAGGTCTCCTTCTTGTGCAGCTTCGAGCCGGGCTTCTCCACCTCACGTACAATGTGAGTCATGCCTTTTGTTTAGAAATGCCGCGGGACACAGGCAACCCATTAGCCTTTGCTAGCCCCGCCGAAGAGCACCCTGTTCTGGCTAATCCCTTAACTTATAACCCGATGGCGCATTTGACAGTTCCAGCACATGATCATAATAGTATATATGTAATGGCCCCTTAGCGGTAACGCAGGTTTTGCAAACGACTCGCCGCCGCAGGTAGGGACGAATGGAGCATAGACGAATGCTTTCCCTGCAGAAGCTTACCGGCCTTGTAGCCCATGAAGGCCGTCAAGTGCACCGGCTTGGAGGCATCGTCCCTGGGGAAGGACTTCACCTTGCCCCGACCACGGCGGCAGCGCTTCCTGGGGCTGAACCCCAGGGAGCCGCTCCTGGGATCTGCAATATAAGGACATTGAAATTGGAGGGTTTCTGCTATTAATCAAATACTTCTGGCTGAACCGCGATAACATCCTCGACACAATCGGGCCATTCCCAAGCCGGGGCGAGCCTCATCGTTACAAAAAAAGGGCTATCTTTGAACATTGTACATACGCTTGCAATAGTGTCTAGCATGAACTAAAGTCTGGGTATAAACTTATTCTGTGGCGGCGACAGCAAGCGACGAGCATTAATGCCCACGCAATATAACTCACGTTCGAACTTCCTGTGCGACATGGTGCCTAGGCAACCCGGAAAGGACGGAGATTGGACAAGTGAGCGACTAAGTCTCCCGAGCGGCCGTGTATGGCGCCACCCTGGAGCCTCTGGTTAGTGTCCTTCAGAAACCCGCTCCACACCCTGGAAATTTTATATTAAATAAAGAAAGGTTTGATTGTACCTTCCACCATACAAATGTCAGATGGTATTAAGGATATTGCACGGTGCAACAACATGTCAGGTGCTTCCACGAAGCGCTTGGACAGTGGTTTCTGGCATGCGCAGACAAGCAAAAACATGTGCTAATCCGACCGGTTTACGCATCAACTGCAGTAAGATTGCCGTTTTCGCGTTTGTTTTCCGTTGTTAGTTAGGCCGCAGGCCATCGCTGTTGCGCGAATGCGCATACGAGGTTGTTTTGTGTGCACGCTGAAATGTCAATACCAGTGTTTCAGGCATACAAAGGACGCACATGCAAGGCAGCTGAAGGCTGCGGCTCTACGCAACCCTAATGTTCAGGAGGAGCCTCCGTGTAGGTCCCCTGCTAGTTACCGGACAGTTCCAGGCACCATGCCTGATAGCCACGCCCAGAAGCCTGGTCAGGGGGCAGCTCGGCGCAGCTTTGTCGGGATCCTCCCAAAAATTACACTTCCATTTTTTTAATTTTGCAACTTGAGAAGCGGCTCTGCTCACCAATACGACATCGTTCCGAGCCGCATTGGGGCTCCCCGCAAATTTGCCCACCATGCAGCTCATCGCCCTACGCCATACACACCACGATAGATAGGCGCCGAACGTTAAAGGCCACCCAGGCTGGCATCTTATCAGCGCACGATGCCACCTCATTTCCATCAGCCCAGAATCTCAAATCATGGCCTAGATAAATATACAGAATGCAACGCCAAGCTCCGTCCTGCATGGTGTGCATTAAGGAATGCGTCGAACTAGCCATATATACATAATACAGCAAACCAGCCTTGGCCGTCTTCCAACACGCATAATTAAGCAGCCCAATTCGTCCTCCAGCGTCGACCTCCACCCTTCCGCACGGCAGCCCACACGCAGGGTCCACACAGCACACATGCGGCCCGGATTAGCCCCCCCACACACACACATCGGCACCTACCAATTCCTACGGCCGGACATCTAGGGTCGCGCGGCCTGGCCCGCCAGGTTTACGGCTCGATGGGCCCCCCCTAATTGTGCTCAGCTGGCTACTGGTTACGGCTCCTGGCTACTCAGCTGGCTGCTCGTTATATTCTCCAGCCCGAGGCTGGTCTACTGGACAACATGATACCGGTACCAGTGAAATGCCAGTGAAATGCCAGTCATCCGGTACCAGTGAAATGCCAGTCATCCGGTACCAGTGAAATGCCAGTCATCCGGTACTAGTGAAATGTCAGCCATCCCGCCGGAACCCTCCACAGGAACCACCAACAGCAAAACCATGCAGCTATCTGCCTGAGATCTTCAGACATACGCATGCAAGGGCCGCGGCTGGCGTGAGATACAAACGGAAGCCGATACAATGTGCGCGTGCATGCAAGTGCCCGCACAACCGCGTCCTTCTTCCACTGCGTGAATTCCTCTCTTCAGTCGTCGGGCGGGATTTCGGGGTTGGGGTGGCATAATACTGCTGGCGGGAAGTTGGTGAAGAGGTTGTATTGGTAGATGAGGTGCGGGATGGACGGCCGGAACGGGGTGGGCCGCACATCCGGCAGCAGCTCCGCCAGCATGGCAGCGTTCTCAGCTACCGTTGTGGCCAGTACCTTGCCTGAACGGGGTAGGAGCCGAATGTCAAGGAGCTTGGGGCCGCGATGTAAGGCTGAGGCCTTCCCGGCTTGCTGCCCACTGTAGCTCTGGATGACAAGTCTGGACAGGCCCCTACCCCTAAGCAGATCCATTTCACTCTTGCCCCTTACGCGCATCAATCCTCCTTTTTTACACATGTAAAAATTATTGTGTCCTGATACGGGTTTGTCATCCCTTGGCCTGGTAGGACCCCGGTTTTTAAACGCATGTTCCTATCCCTCTCCCTGGGCCTGGCAGTACCTCCGGATTGCAGCAGCAGTTTCGCCGCCTGCGCGTACTTGTCCCACACCTCCCGCGTGATGAAGGGTGGGTCAATGACGACACAGTCAAAGGCCCCAAGCAATTGGGTCGGAATGTCCTCTGGTACGTTGAAGTCGTAGCGCACAAAGTGGGGGTCGGATGCCCACTGTTCGTCCAGGTCAAACAGCCAGGCATCTGATCGGAGCTGCGACCCGCGCTGCCGAGTTTTGGGTGCGGGTTGGGTGACAGGTAAAGAAACGAGTAGCTTGGGTTGGTGTTTGAGTGTTAGCTAGCTGTAGCCCCACCCAGGTCCATAACCGCGGCGATAAGGACTGAGCAACGTCAAGCACCAACAACACCATTTGTATATTCAATACTCACAGGGAGAGAAAAGTAAATAGACGGGGTCGACAGGCAGGCTATGCGCGTTGCTGAGGCGGTCAGCTCCTGCGGGCACACCACATGTGGGGCACAGGTAGGATCCCATGCCCGGCGGAATAATCCTGGGTTCGTGGCCTTCACAAGTGTCAACAGTGGCTTCAACCAGTTGTATCCTACCTCAACAATCTTTCCAATTGTGTGGGCTGAATACCAGTACTGGTTATGCTCCGCCTTTTCGGGATGACTGCAACGCGTAGCAGTCCGCACGACCACAAATATAAATTGGTAACGATGTCGAGGAACAGCGCGTGGCAAACCACATGTGATTGTATGAGCACAATGGAAGCTTAAGCTCGTAAGGCCCCGACAAACCAAGAGACTCACGCATCACGAAAGGGAAGCAGACAAGTTAGCAGAAAACAAAGAAAACAAGACAATGCAGAAAATAACGAAGTTCACCAAAAGTAACTATCCTATACCGCGCGACGCAAATGTTGAAAGTAATATGCACAAGCACACGCAGATCTTTTGCTTGCATACGTCTTAGTGTACAAGGCGAATAACAAGAAACAAACAGCTTACCGCTGGAGGAACCCGTTTGGTTTATTAATCATGTTATTGGCGCTGAATTGGACTGCTTTGTCTGGCCATCAAATGAACTGAACTAAATGTAGTAAGTAAGGCTCCCAAATACAAAACAAAAAATGGCAATGGTGTTGCTTATGTCGCGCAGCACGGCACACTGGCACTGTTTTTGACTGCCGTACTTCACGTCATATGACGACCTTTGACGCCACACTATTAGCAGGCAGATATCTTTTGATTGGTGGGTGAATGTGCCAGCGGGCTTGATTTACCTAGTCCCATCAACTTTGCTCTCTGTATGTTAGATGCTGCCGCTTTGAAGCAGCAGCTGCATCCATTGGTTCACGCCAATCAGGTCAGATGTTGAATGTGACCTTCTTCTTCAAGACGTTACTGTGCTTGGAGACACTGAGGGGAAGCCGATGCGAGTTACGAAGCGATGGCCCCGAAGCTTAAAGTTGCGGACCTAGAAGCGAAGCTTAAGGCCAAGGAGGCGGAGCTTCAGGCTGCACAGGCGAATTTGGCAAAGGCGGAGGCGTCTCGCGCAAAGCTTAAGCAGTACCTTGTAAGTCGTTCCTGGTATGATGTGTGGGACAGGGGGGCATATCTTCACCCGTGGCCGCTACCCGGCGAAACCCTGCCTTCCCCGGTATTTCGGGGCACCCCCATCCACTCACCCTAGACGACTTCTCAGTGTATCGCTCAGGTTCAGCACCCACCACCGGCATTCAACGGAATCTGCCGAATCAATGGCGACTCAACTCCATTCCTGGTCAGCTCACAGGTCGACTTTATCCCAGGTCACCACCGTCCATCGACTAGGGGCACTCTTACCTTCCACCATTGGAAAAATTTTCGACCCTGACAGGTCTCGACCCCTGAACCTCCGGGGGCATCGGTGTGTGCGTTACCAGTAGTGCCTGACTTATGATATATGTATGTACATATATATAGCCGCAGCCTGTCCCCTGCTTGCGGCTCGTCAACGCGGCGTACAATGGTAGTACGGTACCCCCCCGCCACTCAACTCAACAACGTCCTGACTCACATCATCCTCTATCATCTCTCGTCCCTCTTTCTTACCCCAATCCCCACACTCCCCCGCCCGCCTAAGCCCCCTCTCACCTCACACTCTCTCACTCGCCCACACACACCCTCACACACATACACAGGAAGCCTTTCGCGAGCAGGCCGTCAGCACCACCCAGATTATAACCCAGTATCAGCAGCTTCAAAAGGACCACAGTGCCCTTCAGGAGAAGCAAGAGCAGCTCGCACAGGAGAACGAGCGTCTCCGCCAGGCAGCGAGGGCGCCCCTCGCAGCCGCTGCGCCTCCTGAGCGCGCCGGCAAGGCAAGGCAATCATCAAGAGGACCACCAACAGAGGCACCATCTGTAGCACCAGCATCAGCAGAACCACCAGCTGGTTCGGAGCTAGCGCCTCAGGGCCTTGCACGGCTCGCACAGCAGCTCAAAGAAGAGCAGCACCGGCGGCAGCAGCTTCAAGAGTCTTACGTGCGCTTGCAACAAGAACAGGCGGCCGCTGTGCAGGAGAGCGAACAACTGCGTCAGGAGCGTGACCTCCTGCTGCAACAACGGACAGAGCAACGGGAGAGGGAACGGGAAGGGGAACAGCCGCAGCCTGCCGAGACGTGGGCAGGGGCCGGGGCTGGCCCGGCGCTGAGCACCCACCAACATCACAACGACCAGCACCAGCAGCAGTGGCAGCGGCAGCAACAGCAGCAGCAGCAGAACGAACGGGCCGTACAGGCGCTGTTGGCGCAACTCGAAAAGCAACAGCAGTTAAACGAGGACCTGCGTGGGCAGCTTGACGCCGTTGTTCGGCAGCAGCAGGATCAGAAGCAGCAGCGGCAGGGAGGCTCTGCGGCGGGTGGTACCCTTGTCGCGGCGTCGACGGTTCCGGCGGGGCCCCGTGTACAGCCGACAGCAGTTAAGCCCGGGGAGCGGGGAGCACCGTCAACAGCATTTCGGGGACGGCAGCGGCGCGAAGGAGGCGGAGGCGCAGCGAGCGCTCCGGAGTCCGCTGCAGGGAGCGTTGCCATTGCTGGCAGTGACAGCAGCAGCAGCAGCGATAGCGGCGTTGAGGACACTAGCAGCGGCGCTGTGGGCATCGCGGCGCGGCGGCTGCAACGGCGTCAGCAGCGGGAGCACGAGCTGCAGAAGCAGCGGGAGCACGAGCTGCAGAAGCAGCGGGAGCACGAGCTGCAGAAGCAGCGGGAACACGAGCTGCAGAAGCAGCGGGAGCACGAGCTGCAGAAGCAGCGGGAGCACGAGCTGCAGAAGCAGCGGGAACGGGAGGAGCGACTAGTTCAGGAATTGACGGCGGCCCAGTCGCAGCGGCGGGCGGCGGAGGCGGCCCTGGAGGCGGCCCGACGGGAGCTGTGCGAGCTGCAGCGGAGCGAGGCGGCGCAGCGAGGTGCCATGGAGCACTTGCAGGTACAGACAGGCGCGCGGCAGATGGAATGAGCTGTAGTCAGGAAGCAAAGGTTGAACCCTCGACTGGCAGGCGGGCAAGCGGTGTGTTTCAAGATGAGGGCAGGCAGGGTCAAGGCCTGGAGTAAGAGACCCGACCTTGAGGGGGCTCAAATAACCCTTCTAGAGGGTTCCGGGGCTTAGAGAGTGCGGTTTTACTTCCCGCAGGGTTCTTCTTCCCTACCCTCCCATTTCCCTTTCTACCAAACCCCCCAAACCCCCACCCGCTTCCGATGGAACGTTTTGTTTCGGGGATTATAACCTGCTCGGACCTGCTCCCGTTGCGCTGTTTTCGCAGGCCCAGCTCCAGGCCCTGCAGGCCTTGGTCTCGGAGCACGCCACAGCATTGAAGCGGCAGAGCGCCCACCTACAGCGCCACGACAGCCAGTTGGGGCACCATGCCACGGAGCTGGAACGGCATGGCGATGAGCTGAGGCGCCACGACGGTGAGCTGGCAGCTGCCGGCGAGGCTGCCAGCCGCCAGGCGGCGGCGCTGGAGCGGCTTCAAGTAGCACATGAGGGTGATACTGCGGCTGTGCGGGGGCTTACGGCCCGGTTGGAGGCTGCGGTGACGGGTGAGGAGGCGCTGCGGGGCCGGCTGCAGGGCATGGCGATAAAGATGCAGGAGATGCACCGCACCCACAGCATCTTGCGCCACGCGTTTGGTGGTGGCGGAGGTGGCGACGTTGAGGAGGGCGACGGGTACGGCTACGGCTACGGCCGTGGTGGTTGGACCCTGGGGGAGGAGCTGCCGGGGCGTCCGCCCAGAGGCGGCAAGGTATCGCCGACAGCCCTGCCTTCGCCGCGGCAGCGACCGCAGCAGCAGCGGCAGCAAAGTCGATTGTGTGTGGGCACACAACATGATCGTTTGGAGGTGCTGGTGCGCAGCCGATCGGCGACGGCGCTTGAGCAGGAGCTCCTTCCCTTGCCCTGTGGTGAGCGGGAGGTTGAGGTGGGAGATGGCGAGACGGCGGCGGCGCAGGGCTGGGCGTCCCCTGAAGGCCCGTCGGAGGATGAGCGAATGGAGGATGGCGGCGGCGGTGGCGAGGTGGAGGAGCAGCTCGACGGCCACCGCGACAAGCGGCGCCGATTGGAGGGCCCCGCGGCGGCGGCGGCGGTGACGGCGGCAGCGCCGAAAGGCAACGGTGTTTGGGAGCTGCAGCGGCAGCAGCAGCCGACCAGGCCCATAGCCGCCGGCGAACGTCAGCTGCTGCCCATCATTGTGGGTCAACAAGGTCCGACTGCCGCTGAAGCTCCTGTGCAGAAGGACCCACTCACCGCCGACTTGCCTGCGCGCGGGGAAGGCCGCCAGAGAGTCTTCACTGCCGCCGCCGCGGCCGCCGCCGGCGGTCCCAGTGCGGATGGGGCTGGTGAAGCGCTGCAGCGGCGGGGAAGGGGCCGGCCTCGAAAAGAACGCACACCCGGAGAGCTGCTCGCGACGTTGCTAGACGGCAAGGCCACCGGTACCGGCCAGCTGGCCAAGGTGGCGGCGGCGGCGGCGCGGCGGGCGGCAGCGGCAGTACGAGGTCATGCCGTACACCCCGCGCCGCTGGCGACGGCGGTGTGCAACGCCATTTTGCGCTGTTCCCGGGGCAAGATCGGCGTTCCTACTCCACCGGTGCTGAATACGGATTCTGGGACGGCTATGGCTGCGGCGGCGGTTGCCACTAGTGAGCTGACTCAGGTGGCTGGGCGAACCCAAAAAGTTGGCCCTGATGAGGGTGCTGGTAAGGCCCGTGGGTCAGCCGCTGCAGTTGGGGCGGCGGTGGCAGGCGGTAGCGGCTTTCTGGCGGTTGTGCTGCCAACAACGGGGCGCAGTCGCGGCCACGGTGGGTCAGGCAGCGGCGGGGCCGTAACGCTGCTCGACGCGTTGAGCGGCCTTTGGTGCAAGCCCGCCGAGCAGCAGCGGCAGGTGGTAAGGTGGCTGCTGCAAGTTGTGAGGGACACGGACTGCCTGCTTGGGGGCAACACGGCAGGAGCACAATCCGACTGCTTGAGCGACGGCGTTGCTGCGCCACACGAGGCGCCTCCACACGAAGCGCCTCCCCGCCCCGTCTCGCTGCATACAGTGGCGGCAGAGGAATGTGTGGATGAAGTGGATGCAGCGGGGACGAAGACAGAGGACTTAGCAGCAGCAGCAGCAGCAGCGGAGGCCGTAGCTGTGGGCGAGATGCCAGTCGGGATGCAGCCGGCTAGCGGAAGGGCATTGGGAGTGTCCCCGCCAGCCGCAACGGCTGCGTCGGCACCTCGCCCGCCGGGGCCTGTGGGCCTCGTGGGCGGCCTGGTGGCCCGGAAGCTGATGAGCGCGGTGGTGGCTTGCGACCCGCTTGACAGCTGCGGCCAGATGAACACATCTGCTGCTGGGACCGCAGCGGAGGGGACCCCGGCGGGCGGCGGCGGAGGGCGTGGTGGTGCCGTCGGTCCCGTGGAGGTGTTGGGGCAGGAAGCTCCGGCTATGGAGGGGACGGCGATGCACGGCCCCGACCTGCCGGAGCGTTGCGCTGCCGCGCACGCGCTCGGCCAGCTGTTCCGTTTGTACCAGGACCGTGAGGTACGACGTGCTTCAAGCGTGGTGGCGTACTGTCCCCTCGGTGTTGTTGGCTGGCCGGGGTGATGAAGTTGTTGTTGTTGGCTGGCTGGCTGGCTGGCTGGCTGGCTAGTAGCCACTCCTGTGGCAAACACCACTTTGCTGCCTTTCCTGAGCGGCATGTCGTGCTGTCGGCTGTCTGGTGCATGTTGTACGTGAAGCCATTTCCGCGCCGCCAATTCGTTTTTGTGTAATGCTCCGCAGCCCACCCCACCCCATCCCTCTGGGCCGTTTGCGCCTGAACCCGCAGATAACCTCTATAGAGAAAACTGATACCCGCCCTTCCCGCCCACTTCTCCAATCGCCGTAGGCATTCCAGTGCACCGCCTTAGAGCTGCTGCATGCAGCCGCCGAGGCGAGGAGCTGCAGCGCCGCCGTCAACCCCAACCCCAACACCAGCAGTCTCAACCATAGCCAGCAGCTCGCCCACTCAGTTGGGCACGAAATGTACGGCGGCCTCCGGTTGGCCCCGTCAGCGACCCCCACCCCGACCCCAACTCCGACTTCTGACTCACATTCCGGCGGCAGCTCTCTGATACCGCTCGCATGTCTGTTGGTCGGCTGGTCCCAGGCGCTCATGCCGGTGGCGGTGACGATGCCGCCGCCGGACCGCATGCAAGTTACTGCTGCCGCCGCGGCCGCTACTGCGCCGCGTGTCACGGAAAGCGCCTTGCCGCGGCCGGTGCAGGCCGGCGCGGCGGTTAAATTGCCGCCGGGGATCACCGCCGCCGCCGCCGCCGCCTTTCCCGGGTCTTTCGGACCCGTCACTAGCCACGATATCGCGGTGCCTGGCGGCGGGACGGATCGCAGTGTGGCGGAGCTGCATGGCACCACTAACGGGAACTTGTTCTGTGACTCAGAATCGGAAATGGATTTTGATATGGAGCTGGATGTGGATCTGGATCCGAATCCTATCAGGTCTTGTCATCATGATGAGGCGTGCATGTGGTCAGATCCTGTTCGGGAGGCACAACTGGTTTCGGAGCCCCTGGTGGTAGCCATGACCACCTGCGCGCAGCTGCTGGCGCTGGAGCGGTTGGCTTTCTGCTGCTGCCTGAGCGCCGATGGAGGCGGCGACGGTGGAAGCAGTGCTGGTGGTGGTGATGGTAGTGATTGCGCAAACCTGCTGGGCTGCGGATCTGCAAAGCCGTTAGGAGGTGTCAGAGTCGGTCCACCCCCGGTAGTTCCCGAGGCGAACACCGCCAATACCGTAGGATCATCAGCAGCAACCCCACCGGCCCATGGGTCGCCCCTTGGCGGCTTTGGCCACAGCTTGTTTGCTGGCTTGGACTGCCAAGCGGAGGCTGTGGCGGCGGCTGCGCTGCTGCGGGCGGCCTGGGAGCAGCAGCAGCAGCAGCAAGCGGCCCAGGCGGGGACCGAGGGTAAGTATAGTGCCGTGGCCACCTTGGTGACCCACGGGTCAGAGACAGGAGCCGCAGCTTTCGCGGGCCCAGTTCTGCCTGGTGTCGCGGAGGTGCTGATCGCAGCGGGTGTGGTCAAGGCTACCATGGGTAAAGGTTACGCCACAAAATTCAGCACAGGCTTGGCGACCGATACCGCAGCGGCGGCGAACGGCGGCGGCAGCAGAAAGCCCGGCGGCGAAAAGGGCAGCGGTAGCCATGACAGCAGCGGTGGTGGCGATGGGGGGCCCCACGCAAAAGATCTGGACGCGGCGCTGGCGGCCGCCCTGGCGCGAGCTCGCGCTGCCGTGTTGGCACTAGCGGCGCGGCTGATGGGGCTGCTTCTAGTGGTTGTGACGGACAGGCAGCGCGTACGGAAGCCCGGACTGGTGCATGGGGAGCCGCCGCCGCCGTTGCCGCCATTGACAGAGCAGCTGCTACACTGTCCTGGTGACGGAACTGGCGACGGCGGCCGTATATCTCCAGCCGCAGCGCAGGCGTCTCCTAACCTAGCGGGCCAATCGCGGCCCGGGGCATCAGAGCCCCTGCCGTCGACCGGGGATGCAGAACCCGACACCGCTTACCTCGCCGGCCTGCGTCAGGCCCTCTTGCTGACGTGTCACCTATTGCCGTACGACGTCGTATACGACAGGGTGCTCAGGCAGCTGGTCTCATGGCTAAGTCCAGGCGGGCCGGCGGCTGTGGACGCGGGTGGCAGCTGGCTGTCGTACCAGCGGCGCCGGGCCTCGGCGGAATCTATAGGTGCTGGAGAGACTGCAGCAGCGGCGGCGGCTGGAGATACGGCAGCTTCTGCTGCAGGCTCGCCTGTGGAGCAGCCAAATGGCTGCGAGGCACCGGAGGCACCATCGCACGGGCCGGCGGGGCCCGTGACTGCTCCCCAAGGCGCCCCGGTGGTAGATGACGAGGATCCTGCCGTACTGGTAGACGAGCTTGTCGTACCGTCGGGCTCCCCGCACATTCCGGACCTGCCGCTGACACGGCTGCTGCTGGAGCTGATTCAGGACGTCGCATGCCAGGCGCTAGGCAGCGCGCCAGCCATTGTAGGAAAGCCGCGGCCATCTGCACATCGCCATGCACCCACGGCCGCATGCAGGCCCAGCTCCAGCGGCCCCCCCGGCCCCGCTGCTGCCGTGCTCCGGGCCGCGTGCGCATCTCTCTGCGAGGAGCTCGCTAGCCTGGTACCCACACTGCTGACACCCCCGGGACACCGGGGGGTTGGGGACCCCGAGAATGTGGAGGTACGCGGGGTTGGCGGCTTGCAGCATCACCCACAGGAGCATGTCCCTACGGCAGCCCGACAGCCCGGCGGGGAAGCAGGCAACTGCCCCGGGGTTGGAGTTGCACCATTGGGGGCTGCATCGCCAGGGCCCGGCACTGACCAGGCACGGACAGCAGCGGCGGCGGCGTTGCTTTCTGTGGTGTTCAGGGTTGCGGGGATGTGCGTGTCGGGGCTGGCAAGTGAGCCGGAGGCCGCCGCTAGGGGCGCGGGTGGGGGCAGGGATGATGATGGTGGTGTTGATGCGGGGGCAGGGGGGTTGGCGGGGGAGGGCTTGTGTTTTGCGGTCGCGTCTGTTGCAGCCGGCACCGCCGGCCGGCGAGTGCTGCGCTCTCGGGCGGCAGGGGCCCCTTCCACTGATGGGGTAGTCGCTGAGGTGAAGACAAGGGTGGGTCGGGCGCTGAGTACACTGCGGCAGGGGCTGCGGCAGGGGCTGCAGGGCGACCTTTGCGGGCTAGGGGTGAGGATGCTTGGGCAAGGCGGCAGGGGTGGGGCGGCAGCGAGCCTGTTGCAACTGGTGCCCGCAGACGAGGAGTGCCTGCTGGCGCGCCTGCTGGCGCCGGCCGAGCCGCTGGCAGGCGAGGCACGGTAGATGGCAAAGTGGATGTGCGGGCCCCGCGGCTGTGGGTTGAAGTTTTCGGTGGCGTTCCTGCCCCTCAGAGTGCACCGGGGGGATCCCTGGCCAGGTTTTATTTATGGAAAGGTTAAGGGTGAGGGATAAACGATGGGCCATGTAACCTCCCCCCCGCAGGAAGGCAACATAAACGAACGGTGGGAGGGCTTGGAGGAACAGCAGGGTTGTGCGCGCGGGCTGTGCCGCATTTGCGTTGAAAGATATAGGGAGGCGATTGCTCGGAGCTGTTGCAGGGCTACGGTATGGCCAGCATGCGCAGGGATTGTTGGGCGCGCTGAGCCCTACTGAGTGTTGTTACTGTAGTACGTTGACCGACCAGCAGCACGATTGATGAAAGCTGCATAAAAAGGAAAAAAAGGAAGTGTTCTTTTATTGTACCCTGTTTTTCTCGAAGGGACCCTCGGACCTAACCTTCCGTACGTACGGGACGCCGTGCAATCCTGTAGATTTTGCCAAACCGCGTAAGGAAAAAAAGCGCTTAAAAACCTATTTGATTTAACGACACGGAAATGGTCAGGACGTGTACAAAACAAAGGATTGTCGCTCCGTCGTTCGTTAGTGTTCCCATCCTGGTCCTATCCTGGCCCCTTTTTCACCCCTGGCCTCTCCCGCTTCCTTCCCCCCTTCCTTCCGCCTGGCCGCCTTGTTCTTCACCATTGCCTCATGCTCCATCTCAACGTGTCCATCCCCGTCCCGATCACCGGCACAACTTAAGGCCCTCCCCTAGGAGCGAGAGGCGCCATTCCCCTAGCTAGCGTGGTATTTGCAGCTGTGAGCTTTTTTCGTCGGCTCCCTCCCATCTGCCCTATCGTCCATACTGCGGCACCGGCTCAAACTCTTTCCTACTACTGACTCCGTGCTGCTGCACTATCGCTTCAATCATCTGACCCAGATGGAGCTGGCCCAGGTAGCGGCAGTAGCTCCACTACTGCACAATGCCGCCAGCTGTGCAAGACACACACACACACACACACGATTAGCACATCCATGCATGGCTCCGTTTACGACGATTTGCGAACTGATGCGTATGACACATGGAAGTGTACTGCGTGATCATATGTTGACTTCACCTTGGTGAAGTCGACGGACTTGTGTGGGGAACAAAGCTGGCGCCGCATCTATTAGCATCCGAACGGGAAACCAGCCACAACAGCCACACGCTGCCGGCGTGACGTCGGGGGGATGGCCCCTGGGAATGACTCACTACCAGTCGCGGAGGTTACTAGTTCCTGTAGCAGGATATGTATGCTGCATCTTGCTGTTTTGTTCGCCACCAGGATGCCTCTGAGGAAAGTTTTCACCGACCGGAACCCGTGCGGAGTCAGCTGGTCTCTGGTCTCATTGCTACGTCCGGGTTGGCTTGCGGGGTTGTCTCAGCAACTCAGGTGGCGAACGATGGCGCTGCTGGAGTTGGGTTACGCAAAAGATGATGCGACAAAGGGGCCCATCGTAAAATGGTATTCTCCGGCTATAATTCCGACCCCCTCTTACCCTCCTAAAACTTCACCAAGCTAATATTAATGTTAGCATATGATACGTGCTTTTAAACAACCACCAGCATGCTTTTATATTTACATTTCGACACGTTGATACAAAGTTTTGAGGGTTCCTGAGATGGGTAGGATGGGTGGTTGCCAGCTCCAGTGGAGCTCCGAACCCACCTATCTACCTATGCCCCCCATCTATCTACAGCGAAGTTGGGGTCCCATAACGCCTGCAATACAAAACCTGAGAAATACGCATGCCGTACGAAACCAAATAATTATCCCCTGTCAGGCTGTTTTGGTTTGCAGCGTGGGGTACAAAAGCGGCACTTAAACCCCGCTAAATCCCGCTTGTGTCTCAACATTTCATAGTTGTCCTACAGGGCCTCTGTTTCATGATTCGGCAGGCCAACCCAACGTTTATAAAGCATTGCACGCCCTTGGTCGTTCGGATTTCCGGTTTTTCCCAACAAGCCGCTGTCGAACTTCGTATGCAAGTCCAAAGCTTAGGCAAAAAGCGACTTGCGTTTGAGATACGATTCGGCCAACGAGAACATATTGTGTCGCATGCAACGACGTGTAACAGCTGGGGACCAGGAGTCCAGCAGGTTTTGGCGTCAGGGGGCGAACGGTCAGCGGGGCTAAGTACCCTCCATAAAGCAATACAGCCAAGTGACAGAGCACAGCTGCATTGCAAAGCACTTGTCATACACACGATTCTGAAGACCTTGCTCAAGTATCAGACGCTTCCGACGTCCTATGCCCGAAAGGATTTTGAAGATGACACAGATGACTGCGTCCATCATCAATGGGATTCTGCAGAGCGCAGTTAGCTGCAAAATAGCAGTTGATCCTGCTTTTTCGCATTACAAACGTCAAAAATGTGCCGCCGAATTCGATCAAGTAACGATCGGCAGCCCATGATTGGTGACGCGTCCCATTCAGCTATGGTAAGCCTGAATCCAGCACCCCTGCAAGAGGACTGGAAGGCAGAATAACAGTGTATCCAAAGCGCGCCTCTGTACCTCTTGGGAGCGCCAAAACATGTGTCGTACTTGGTAATGAGACTTGCGTATGGACTCCGACAGCGGCAAAAATACTGATCGCGCACATTGAGGCGCGCTGGGCTACAGGGCATTGTTGCTGTGAAGCAGGGCAATAGCCGTCGCACGTGTTGAAAAGCAAAATAGCATTCACGGTAGAGAACCGCAATGGGAGAGACCTGTTTGCATGTGCCCGCAAGGGTGTTTGGCTTTGAATCCACGGAAGATATTGCTGGCCAGCCGCAGCGAAGTCCTGGCCAGCTTGAACAGCGTGCCTCGCTCTTATCGGCACTTTTGAAAGGCTCACGCCAGCCACTTCCGGCAACCTACATGGATATGTCTGACGCTGATTCGGAAGACGACGATGAGGATATGGAGGATGCAGAGGCTGAGGAAAATGGCGACGAAAACGACGTGGTGGCCGAGGAGGAACTGCTCTCAGCCGCCGGCGGGAGCGCTCCTGTCCCCATCCCGTCCACGTCGTGAGTCTGCCGCCATAGCAAGAAAACCATATTGTGATTAGAAATGGGTTGTCCATTATCCGAGATGGTGTTGCTGTCGCACCTTTTCCCCATCTGTAGGGAGGCCTTCCTTAAGGCGCAGCGTGAAGCACTGACGCGCTTCGTTTATGCCCATCAAATAGAGGAGATGCGGAAGCAGTGTGCTGCGTACTTCGCGCGTCAGGCGCGGTTCAACGAGGTGGGCTTGAAGTTGCTCCTAATCCACAGGCCATGGAAGATCACATAACCAACTTGTGATGTTGTCTTTCCAGGCCGTCGCGACCGACAACAATGTCAGCTGCAGACCATGTGCGCCTGTTGCGCCGACTGAAGCCTGTGGCTCGGACCCGGCGAAAGTCCAGCCGACTGCGCGGCAACGGAAGCCGGGCTTTTAGACTAGCATACGTTCGGCGGAAGCGTGCTAGCGGCAGTGGACAATTGAATGCCATTTATCATCTGAGTAAAATGTGTTGACATTTGTGAATTGGTGCTCACCTAAGAACTCAGTGGACCTGCGCGACATTACAAAGTTGCATGCGCGCTTTCCCACTTCCAAGCTCGTTTGGACACGAACATTTGTGTTGCGTGTGCGTGCATTTAAACAGCGCCCTGTGTCGGGAAAGGTCATCGTCGGGTTGTGCTTTTAGTATCGGCTGGCGAGCACACCCGTCGAGCCCAGCAGTAGTTGGCTTTCCTAACCGCGCAAGCCATGAATTAGTGGCTTCACGGCCTGGAGAAGCGGATGCTGCTGTCCGACTATGGCGCTTCCTGACACTGTACAAAGCATACTATGCAGGGTGCGTTTGGGGGACGCACGTTGCGCCGCCGCCGCCAAGACGTCGCATCCACGGAGGCAGCTTTTATTGCTGTGGACTGGTGCTGCAAACCATCCTCTTCCAGGCCACTCCATAATGGACGGGTCCTTTGAAGGTATGCACGTCTGTGGGGAATGACGTCAAGGTGTATAGCTCAGCCTTCTCATATGAAGCTCGAAAGGTAGTCGGCTCTTCATTGGGACAGCGGGGGTTAGCTTAGTTGAGGGAATTCAGCTATTGTGGTGGGGGCATGGGCTGATAGGCATCGAGTCAGCTTAGAAATAAGCGCTGCCTGAAGGTCTGCGGCGTCGCCACCGCCGCTGCTGCAGTTGTCCTTGGGTTGGTGACGTCCTTTAGAGCTGTGTGCGTTTAATTTGACCGCTTGCATGGACCCTGGGCCGGCATAGGGTAGCTGCATTAGGACAGACACATAAAGTTGATTTGAATTGCGCGATTGCACTGCCAAAGCATTACCAATGATCCCTTCAATGGGATTCTCTCTCTTAGGATGATCCATACTTTTGGGTTGGGTCGCGGCTTTATCGTGGAATACATCTCCCACTAGGTGGTGCGGTTAGAGTGCATGGTTCGAAAGCTGCAGGGGCAAGCAGGAGTTTTCCGGTGAGTCTCTCATGTGAGGCAATAGGTAGCTGTCGTTTCTGTGCGTAGAAGTACGATCTTCAGGCGATGCTGAAATGTTGCTGCGGCGATAAAGTGGGTCTTGGTTAAACGAGCTATCTACTTGCGTTCAGCCTAATTAAGCTCAATCAAGCTGTCTTGTGCTTCGCAGTGGCCTATCCCGCAGTTGTTTGCCCGCGTGCGGATCCTTGCTCACGCGCTGTTGGGCCGCCGTTTTCTGTCGCCTAATTGACGCTAGCGAACCCCGAAATCCTCGTTCATCCGTACTCTTCTTTAAAGAGCGCGCTGAAAAGCGAAGGGTTATGTGTTGTCGTGCGTAGTGAGGTCTAACCGTCAATGGACGGTTAAGCGCTGGCACCATTTAAATGCGAGTGTTCTCTGTTCAGAAGATTGAAAATTCGACAAAGCCTAGGAATGCTTTAGGGTAGTAACTCAGGTTTATGGTTTTATGACGGATGCGGATTGTATAGCGCACTTGGTCACAGGGGGAACCTGGCGGATCGAGCAATTGGTGCTTCTGTTGCAGTCGGCGTGGTTGTAAATGGATTGTTGCAGGTCTTCTTTGTTTGCTGCTTTTGAAAGGTTTGGTCTCCTGAGCTGTCGCATGTGCAGCTGTTGCAAGGTCCAGGAGCGTGAAACTGGAGATTACGTCTAAAGCCTTGTTGTCTTGGCATGCACGACCGTTGCAGCGATGGGGTGCGCCTCGTCGATTCATTACTAAGTACGATGCTGCCATTTACTGTAATACGTATATATATCGAGGTCGACGGAAATGCTGTGGTAACAAACGCATGTGGATGACATGTCGGGCAAACTTCACTCTTCTGACACATTTACAAGTCCTAGATGACACACCAAACAGCCCATTCACTTAATTAATTGGTTTCTCGTGCGCTACCGCCCAATGAATGAAATTCCAAGTCTTCGTGTTCTAGGAAATCTACCGCAGCGTGGCGAAGACTTGGATGACAAGTGATAAATCTGCAATTTATAACATCGCATGGCATAATGCCTATTGATCAATCAGTTTAATAATGATCCCGGTCTACAAGTACAGTGTCGCGGCCAGCGTGCGACAGACAGAAAAAGCTCAGGCGAGGGTGCTTTGGGGGTTATCTTGACACCAAACTCAATACCCCATATGCATCTGACCCCCTGAGCAACATCTATCTGGCCTTAAGTACACACTTCCTGCCAGTCTCGACGTTCTTATGAATGCAGGTATTGCCTAAGGGCGCAGCCAAAAGACCGCCTCGCCTATTCATGCCTGCACGTCCTTGCCTAGCACGCAGCTTAGCGCTGTGGTGTTATGGCGTGGGGTCTGACTGTATATGCTCTGGCTAGCTCCGGCGAAAGAACTAGCCCTGGAAATCTTGCGGTTGATGATGCATTTGAAGCTTTGGTGTCGTTGTGTCGGCGTTGGTAACTAATCTGATATCGAGGTAAGTATGAGCGCATCAGGGTAGTGCCAATCTCCATTACTTTCCTTCTACCTCTCCTGTCTGCGGCAAGGGAGCTGGGTTGGGCCGCATAGGCGCCAAGTATGCATCACGTACTGAACCAATGAGGCCCAGGCGCGTCGCCAGTCGGAGGCGCCTCCAGCCCTCTTCCGCCCTCCGTGCATTCGCGTGGTCGTTGCTCCGTGTGCCTGTCAAAGGCGCGGTAGCACGTAACTGCAAATTTTGTATGTGCTCCAATCAATCGCATTACCGGGGTTAGAACGGTAATGCGATTGATTGAGCACATACAAAACTTGCACGCCGAAGTTTGAGCACGTACAAGACCACGGGAATTTCGAATTCGTATTCCCTCTTTCGTGCTCGAAATTTGCCGAAATTCCTCTCCCTAGTTACCTTTACCCCAGAACTCGCACTTCGACGCCTTGATGTCACACACGAAGCAGAAGCACTGCAAAGGGGAGGGCGTCAGGGGCAAGCTTTTGGAATCCAGAAAGCCGTCACATACAAAGTTGATGACACGTTCGCCTTAGCAGCTTCGGTGTCCCAGCGGGTTTCTCTGGTCCCTTGTAGCACGATCATCCAAGACGACCTCGTAAAACAATGCACGACTTCCTATGCACCGAGGGCATCACATCTATACCCTCACCAAATACGTAACCCACAAGGCAATCCGATGTTGGATCGCATGGTCGCACCTTATCACAGTGGAGGCTGTTCGTTGAGTTACTCCCCTCGACAAACCCGTAAGCTCCACAGTCAGGGCGACCATGCGAATAGCCAAGGGAGGCATCCTGTACATACAAAAACGCTGTCAAAGACGTTTCGAGGCTTGTAGGGGGATGTATTGTATGCTGGTATGCTGGACTGCGCTTACTTCTACCCACCTCGTCCCCTCTTTGGCTACTCATGGCAAGCTCCTCTGGCTGGGACCCCCTAGCCTTATCAGGGGAGAATATGATAACATCGGAGTCGTTGTTGGAGTAGTCGATGATGACGACCTCTTTGACCTTGCCCATCAGGTAACAGGGCGGCAGAATCCGGATAGGTCAACTCTTTCCTTAATTTATTTTGGTTTCAATTGAACTGTTGAAGATACCAGACGAGGCTTATACAGAGGATTGAATTGGACACCGAAGAAGGAAAGCAGAAATGTAGTGCGCTCGCAAATTTTTTCCCGTCAAGGATGCCAAAATAAAAGCTGTGAATTCAATTGGAAGGTGTATGTATAAGCCATTGGTTTATGCATACGGTTGGTGTATGCAAACGGAAGGCTCGAAAACAAACTGCATGTACCGTACGGTACGTGACCGTACGGTAAAATGTTTTGGGGGGAAGCGCAGCACGCACAGCACCACAACAACGGCTTTGCACGGTTTGGCTAGCCGCTGACAGCGGATCACAGAATTAGGAGGCGGCCGCCATGCACCTGCTATCCCCTCGCGACTCAAACCACCGCACAAAACTAAGGGACATATGCGATAGCTATGCCGTCCATATATTACATATCTTTCATGATGTGTAACCAACGATGTTCCCGTGCTTGTTGTCCGCGCAGTCCATAACACAGCACTGCAACAGCCATTAACCGTGTGCCGTGTACTTAGCTTAGTATGCTTTTACGAGCCACCGGTAGTCTGGCAGGCGCCAGCGGTGAGACTGTTCACCTCACGGTGGGAACCCAGGTGAACATGGTGATAGACTACGACAGAGCGCATCCTCTGGCAATTACTGCAACGGCTACCGTAACAGGAGCCATGCTTCCCAAGGTGCCCTTTCATCTACCTCCAGTCTAGTCTGCCGTCTGCGCGTGATTGCTCGGGGTAACGGGGTACCCTCAAAATATAAATATTCTAAGCACTACATGTCCCTACGCTTTGGCACGTGTCAGATGCGCTTTGTGGAACTCATAGTGCCATGGGACAAGGTCCTACCAGAGTCTGGTAGGCAGCTCTTATCCTAGATTGAACCTACATTTTTCCAGGGCATCTGGGTTTCTTATCAATGATTGGACATATCTCTTGCCATCCAGGCAAGTCATTTCATGGTTGAAGCCCAGTCAAAAGCCCTACATGGAAAGACGAACTTCGCCGGGTTCGCCGCTCACACGTTGAGACTGATGTCCGCCCCCGTGTGGTTCTTATACACGTGTGTCCTGTGAACAATCGTGGCACTCTCCGTTAACGTCGAGGGCTTCTCAGCTTCTCTGCCACCTAAAATGACCTAGAATTCTACAATGCCCCGCTGACAACCCCGTGCGCTAAAATGCGCCGTGCTGCATACCCTGGGCATGGGTGGATTTCTAGGGCGTGCAGGTTCGCAATTGTTATATTACAGGCAGAAAACAGCACGCTGGGTGCGACGTGCCCACTAAAGGAGATGGCCAAGTGGTGTTGCCCAAACCTTGAAGATCGGTTCAACTTGACAACTGGCAGGGCGTACTACCTGATGCAGATGAGCTTCCCAGTGCCATTGGGGCATAATACCCATGGATCGCATAGCCCATCAGTGACACGGGTCGCATTGGTTTTGCTCATGTGGCCGTCCCGGGCGCACTGCGTCAAGGGTTTGTTGTCCAACGCCCTTTAGCCATTGCAAACTACATTGAGCATACAGGCCCATTCTGTCATAATAAAAAAATCTTCGGGGTTCTGTTGGATAAGGGTAGCGACACTTCCGCCCAAGATATATATCTAGCACTGTAAAGTCTAATACAGTTGAAGAGATTACCTACAGAAGTGTATGTATAAACAGCCTCCTCATTAGTCTATTGTCGTCGGCACAGCAGCCTGCGCAAAGCATTCGCCACGTCCGAGGGCCCCCTGTTGCTTCAACCAACTTTGCCGCAATGCATGGCACGAGCGACGCGGAGAATCTCCCTACTACTTTACCATAATGCATAAAGATGATTCTGGCTGTGAAGTCCACAACGAACTGTTAGCGTTGCCTGAACTTAGGTTGCGAGCTGTGAGCACATGCTCCGAGCGTGGTCGCGGCCAAGACGCTGTGGGCCCTTTCTCCATTGCTTACCTCCTGGGCCTGTAGGCACCCTCACGGGCAGTCTTGACCGGCGCGCCGTGAGGTTCTCAACTGCCGGTATCGGGGCGCCCCGACACTGAAATGAAGGCGCGGAGCACTGGGAGCGGCGGCTTTCGCGCCGCATACTACACGGACGAGGACTATTTGTATAATGATGATGACATTGACTATATTCCGCCTGCGCGGAAGAAGACTGCGCCCATAGGCGGAGGCGGGAAGGAGCGTCCTGGGCTTCCCAAACGGCCGGCAGCTCAGTCGCCTCCGCCAGGAGCGGGAGCCCAGTCAACTAGCCCGGGCAAGGCCGTAAGATCACGGCCAACGAATAACCAGTTATTGTGAGCGCGGGGTGCTTTTCGTGGAAGCATAGCGAGGTGGTCAAGCATGTGTCGGTGCTAAGCTGGCATACACATGGCGTTCCTAATGTTCCCAGGTAGTTTAATAGCATCCTCAGCTTTATTCATTTCCGCATCGCCGCAGGTACAAGGCCTACTTTCGTTGGGCGCACTATCCGCATAGGTTAAAGAATGCAAACCTGCCGGAGGAAACGGATGCATGCGCGAGTGTAACAGCGGCTTTTCTTCAGGTTGGAATCGTACGTTGAGTCGCTACAAGTGGCGTAGGCTTGCAGTGCGTAACGTTCTTGCATTGTGCACATTACGCTCAACAGGTCCTACAGATTATGCAAACTGCAGAGCAGTTGCGCCATGGCAACAACAAACGGAACGTGCTTCAGGTACATTAGGGGGAGCGTGGAGGTGTAGCGTCGGGCGAATGCTTGTGTATGCCTTCCGCAAGTGGGTCCCAGATTCATCCTGTTAGTCCCGTTTTACAGATTCTGTCAAGTAACACCCGGCGGACAAAGGTCGTGGAGTTGTCCTCCGGAACGCACAGGTAGGACCATCAGACCCTGGGCCCGAGGCACCAAAGCTATGCAAGTGCATATCTCGTACTCGCTGCGCCTGCCTGACAATTCGACCCAGCTGCCCCTATGCCCTGTCGTGCAATGATAAATGGCAGGGTGCCGGATGAATTGAAAAAGCACTACTTGTCGGATGGCGAGGGGGGCCAGTACAGCACGAACCTTGACCGCAATCGCTATGGCAACGATGACAACTACCTATTTACAGGTGGGACTCCCCATGTTCAATGACGAGGGTGGGGGGCTGCGCCGCGGCTGTACATCTGGTGCGCGTTTGCATCACACACCTGTTGCATTGTCGGGCCAGCGCCCGCTTAACTTTCAGCAGATCTCTTCGTCACCTCTATCCCATCCTCATCACAGTTCGCGCCCTTAGGTGTGCTTCTTTCCCGGCGATCCCACCACCGCACGCAGTCATTCGCTATGATCTGGAGTTTTTGGGTTTGTGTCCGTGCATGGTCGATGTGGAGATTATCGACGCCAAGCAGGTACGCTAGCAATGTCTTTGGATCTGCGCCAGGTTGAACGGGTTGTGAATATATATGTATATTAATATTATTTGGTTTACATGTGGGGAAGCAAGGAAGCAAGCATGGGACCCTCCCGCGAGCCCAGCGCACATCTGGATGCGTCGTGTTGGTCGGTACCCTGGAGGGGCACTCCACCCTGTAGGTTGCGGGGGGGGTCGCTGTTGGGGTCACGATCCACTCCACCCTGCCTGGCCGCTCCCGTGTGTGAAAGGGCCCATGCAACCTGTCCGGTATGTCCTCGCACTGTCCAGGGCAACACGTCCATAATCGTATCGGCGGGAACGGAGGTGTGCACGTGTGCCCAGGGCGGGGCCCCAATGAACGTTGCGCCTGGGGGGCCATCGGCGCCGGTCGTGTCGGGAGCGGCCGCTGCTGGTCACCACCAGCACCCGCCGCCAGCTGCGGGCAGCGGTCACCACAACCACCACCACATGCAGGGAGGGACTGCCAGTGGTGGTGGGCACGCTGCCGTGAAGGTAGGTCATTTAGCCGTTACTATTAGGCCATAGCAGGGGAACCGCATGAATTGCAGGTGGATCGCATGGGCACACTGACGGAGAAGCCACGCCGGTTTTTTTGGAAGGTGCAGCGCGCGGGAAGTTGACTAGATTAATTGTCCGTGTTAACCCGGCTCCGGGCAACGTCTGGTTACGGAAGCCCTACCTGGGCATTGTGACGAGAGATTGACAACGATTGCAAAGCTGTTGTAGTGGTAGCATACTATACGTATTGATCGAAACTTGGCAAGCGTGGGTCTGTTGTAAAGGGTTGAGTAGGTGTGCTTGCGCTAGCCGCGTCGTGTGCTGTAACCCTGGCAGTGTAATCATCATCCGAATCGCGTCTCCGAATCATCATCACGACTACGCTGCGCAGGCGGAGTGCGCAGGTGCACTTGGGCCTCAAGCGAACGTGGCCGGCGCTGGAGCAGCCGCCGCAGCCGCCGCAGCAGCAGCAGCAGCAGCAGCTGGTGGTGGCTACGGTGGCAGTGGGAGCGTGGCGTGTGTTGGGCAACCCGATGTTGGAAATTTACCGCCTTTGTTCGGCTCCGGAGCGTTCCGTGGAGGCGGCGGCGGCGGTGGCCCGCAGCTGGGAGGCGCAATGGGTCGGGAGAGCCCGAAACGCAGCGGCACCAGCGTCAGCCAGCTGTTTGATGCGCTGGTGATGGCTGCGACAGGTCAGTCAGTAAGCTAACGTGGGGGGTCCTGAAGTGCTCAGTGACGTAATAACAATAGCGGCCCTGCTGTTGGGCTTGGGACCGGGAAGCGTGGGTCCGTTTTGGGTCTGCGGTGGAGGCGCCCTGGCTTTCTGGCAGAGGGCGGCGACGAGCCCGGTTCCTGGGGCAACATCGCCAGCTGTGTGATAACGATGGTCTAATCGGTGGGAGTCTTTGCGCCTAAGAGTGCAGTGTATTACAGAGAACCTTTTGGCAACATTCGGGCTTCTAACGAAGGCCTCCGGTCTGACCAAGTGAAGGCATGCATGTGCACGACACGCCGCACCGGCATAGAAGCTCGGACCAAGCATATATTTTATCGCACGCGCAAACATTTTGTTTTGCCGCAGGCGGCGCGGATGGCGCAGCGGTGGCAGGAGGCCTGGGCGGGGAGCCCCCTGTTACGAGCCCGGCCCACGCGGATCGGCCGGATCGGGGCATGGGAGGCACGGGGGGAAGTGGCATGGGTGGCATGGGCGGGCCCCGGTTGCACGGCCCGCCTGGGCGGAATAAATCCAAGTTGTGGTCCCTCAATAACTTGTCGTATGGAGGCGAAGTAGACAGCCTTCAGAATGCCCTGGACGCTTTCCGGGAACAGGTACGCGTGGTGTTGCGGCTGCAGGTGGAGTGCTGCAGGTGGTGCTGGCTACTAGATGCGTGTCGATGGGGACGAGTGAGGGTTGCCCATTTGTCCACACCTGGCCCGTGTTATGGTGGTTATGGACAGGGCGTGCTGACGGACCGGGTACGGGAGACGGCGGTCCGCACCAAGCTGCTGTGTCGATATCAAGGCCTGGACTGTTACTTATTAGGGACTGTGATATCCTGGTTTCTATGCATGTATTCCCGTGTATGGATTCTGATGTCAGACAACATCACCCGCCTTCCACCTGTGGCAGGACGAGATCGCCTCCGGTGACCCGGCAGCCTTTCTGACCGGCGGCGCATCTGCGGGTGGTCTGGGTCCAGACGGCAGCCTTCAACGCAGCGACTCGCTGCGTCAGCGGCGTCGTAAGCCGCTGCGAAACAGCTCCATTCTGGGGCGCCCTGCAAGCAGCGGGGGCGTGGGTCCTCTTGGGTCGAAGTTGGGCATAAACTTACGGGTGAGCGGTGGTTAACAGGAGTGAACGAAGAAACGAGGAAAGAACAAGGACAGCAGTAAAACCTGACAGCACATGCACAACGCTGTGTGCTGCGCGTTAGGCTTCAGCTGATATGTCTGGAGAGTCGATCGGCCGAAGTAAAGCCCCTAGGATTTTGGCCTTTTTTGCTTCTTCTTTTCTTTCTTCTCGCTGTACATTTATACCTGTTCTGTTGTTTGCTGGCTCAGGAAAAGTCAGACGACAATCTGAAGTTGGCAACGGATCCGGATCTCGGGGCTGCATTGGCGATCGGTGGCATGGGCGGCGGGGCCAGCTTTCAGGCGGGGGGAGGGATACCGCTTGGGCACGGCGCGACGCAGGTCAGCAGCCTGGCGTCGGGCGAGGATGACAACGACGGCGGCGGCGGTGATGCAGATGCGGAAGATGCGCTAGCGGCCAAAGGCGAGGACCTGGGCGTGGAGGGCGAGGGCGAGGCCGGAGGGGAGGAGGAGCTGCAGGAAGATGCAGGCGGCGGGGCCGGGGGCCTCGCTGCCGGTGGGGGCGCGGGTCCGACTGCCAGCGGCACGGTTGCGCGGACATCCGCTCTGCCGCCTGGACGGGTAAGCGGGTCAAGACTGGATGATGTCCGTTTCATTTCCCACAACAACAGCTGGCTCGCAGGTCTCTGTTATGGGGTCCTTCATCCCCCCATCGACATGGAGGGGGGCAGATCCACCCTCTGAACAGTTGAGGGATTTTTCCCGCACACTGTGGGGCCCTTTCCTAGAACTAACTTCCAGGGATATGGCGCCGTGCCTTGACTGTTGTGTCCGTAATTGTTGTGTACAACGATGCAAGCATTTTTTGCCAAGCGTTTCCTGCCTAGGCAAAGCCGGTCGTAGTTTGGATCGCCAAAATTGCCATTGAAAAGAGTACTCGTTGTGCTGTCGCCCCCCCTGCCCTGACCGCTGCTGTGTGTATGTATGTATGTGTGCGCGCACGTGCTTGTCCATTGCAAGCACAGGCCGCGCTTCGCCACCATGTGCGGCACGTACCTAGGCAGTCATCAGTAGCAAACCTTGGCCCGCGTGTCGCGAATAGCAGCGGTGGCGGCGCAGGCGGCGGTGGCGGTGGGAATGCTGGCGGCGGCGGCCAGGGCGGCAGTGGGCTGGGGGCGCTGGGTCTCGGTATGCTAGGTCCCAGTGGTCTGGGGGGTTCAGCGTCGGCCGCAATTGCTGGCGAGCAGCTGCGGCGGATGGCAACTGAGCTGGAGGTCATGCGGTGAGATGTTGGGGTCGCATGGTTTGGGGCTTCAGGTGCAGCTCCAGCTTCCCCTGCACCATGACGAGCTACCACGACATTGTGCTGATAGGATATAAGTGGGTGGATGGGACGCACCCACTCCGTGGTTCAGTGATTGGTCCTGCCCAAGGTTGAAGGTGTTGCGTCCTGCGAAACATGAAGCACTGCCCCTGGTATGCCTTCCGTCAGCCCTAGCTCTAGCCTTGTTATTTGCGACCATTCACTTAATGAGTGAGTTCATCGACTAATGCTGACTGCGGCATATGCTGCAGGCAAGAGAATCGCACCCTTCGGCAGCAGCTGCAACGCATGAACAACAGCACCGTCGTCAACGGCGCTGTCGGCAGCGGAGCCGGGGGCAGCGGTTCGCCCAACCTCGCCAGCAAGCAGCAACAGAGCTCCGACAACCATGCTAGCAACGATTCCGCACGGTTTCGGAAACTGGAGGTAAGGTCTACAGTACAGAAGGCTTAGCGCGCAACAGTGATCCCAGCGCTGTTACCGTGCATTGCGGCATTGCGATGGCTGTGAGTTTGGCATGTTATGCGTTCATAGAACGCTTGCTGACAGTAGGGATCGTTGAGATCGTTGATGGACTCGATGCATGATATGCAAACGCGTTAGTAGCCAAGCGGCGGCATCGCGGGCCACAGGGTTATGGCAATTATGTAATGAAGCTCTCAGTCGCCCTTGTCACTCGCACCCGGGCAGGTGGAAAGTGGAAATGAAGTGGTTTCGCAATGGTTTCGCAATGAACGAACGCCTTGCTGCCTTGCTTATCTCAGGCCGAGCTCACCTCCATGCGTAACGAGCTTCTTGGGCTGAGCAACGCGAAGAAGACGGCGGACGAGGAGAACAAGCAGCTCAAACGTGAGCTGTTGGCCTCCCAGCAGCATGTTGCTGCGCTGCTCAGCCACGTGCTGGGGACACCGGGTGCTGGGGGCCTGGCGGGCGCGCTCGTGCCGCCGCTTTCAGCCGCGGCCAGCCTTGCTGCCGGTTTGCTGGGTATCGCGAATACTCAGACCGGACCCGCTGCTGCATCGTCGCATGCCCCGCCGGCAGCGGGCGCGTTCGATCCCAACTCCTTTGCTGCGCACCTGTTGGCACTGCGCCAGACGGGTCCGGTGCAACAGCACACGCCCTGTGGTGGCGATGGTGCTGCAGCGAACCATGTGAGCAACGGGGCAGGGCTTTTGGTTTTTCAGTCGGTGGGCGTGCTAAGTCGTCGTGAGGTGTGACCCGGGAGTGTGCGCTTCCGGCTTCACACGCACAGTGTCGGCGCATGATGTCGGGGGATTTTTCCATGCCGGATCGACAAAGTCCAAAGCTAGAAGCTGGTACCACGATACCAATGACCGAGCACCCGCTGGCCCATGGGTGATATTCGGTGTGGAGACAGCGTTGCGATCCTGGTGCTGCTAGCATTTTTGGTACCCGCATTACTGACATGCCAAACTCCTTGCCCGAATCTGCAGGGCCACGCCACGGCGGTATCGGGTGCGGGAGGGCCGGCAGAGGTGATACTGGCAACCACTGCAGGCGTTGTTGACGCTGCCGCCGGCGGACGGCGATTGGACCCAGGCGCGGGTATTATAGAGCTGGAGCACGGCGCACTGGGTCAGAGCAGGAAGCGGACGGCTGACGAGGCAGGGCTGGCAGTCGCGACCGGCGCCTTGGTTGGCGGAGTTCCGGAGATAGAAGCCCTATCCCGACAGGGAGCCGCGGCAGCTGCGCCGCTGTCGACATCCGCGTCCCCGGACCTGATGGGCTCTGCTGCTGCTAAGCAGAGGCCCTCTCAACAGCTTCAACAGCTTCAGTCTATGCCAAGTTTCTCCCCGGCCGTCCCCGCCACCACGTCGCTTACTGCCTTCCAGAGGCCAGCAGACTCGGGCGCAGCTGGGACGCCTGCAGACAGCAACTGCTTTTCGGACGTGGCACAGCTGCTGGCGCTGCCCAACATTGACAGCGCTTTCACTCCGTCGGATCTGGCGGCGCCCTTCAGTGGCGGCGGTGCTGGAATTAGCGGTGCAGCAATCGCCGCGACATCAGGAGTACAGGCGCTGGGGTCAGGGTCCGGCTCTGGAACGGCATCCGTCCCACAGATGCCTCAGTCGGAGCATCAATTGATGCTGCCTGCGCACTTCGGGATGCAGCAGCAGCCAGGAGGGCGCAGGTAGTGCACGCGCGGTGCCGCAGCTTATGAGTGTTTACGTCGTGTCAAGGTTTGCGGAGGGCTGGGTGGTGTGGAGCGAGCGAGGGCGTGCATGTGCACGGCTGCTGTGCCGCGCTGCGGCAAAAATACTTAAACTTGTAGAGGGCAGGTCTGGCAACGTCCCTTGGTATACCATGCTGCTGCTGCTGAATTAAGTTTTGAAGCAACATGAACTGTCGAGGTTGGGGGGATTGTCAGGTGAGGAGGTGGCTTCGGTGCATACGCACCGGGGGCGCTGCGGCATCGGGAGGTGCTTCGAGTTCCGCAAGACCCCCCTGCATGTGTTGGAATGACAGGCATGCGCACAATGTCGGCCTGGTGCAAGTCATGTTCAAATGTCTGGTGGCTGTGAACGGCAGGTGCGTTTGTCTGTCATCCCGACCTCTGGGGGTCTCATACGGGCTATTGCCTTGTTGTCTGTTGCTTGGGCATTTCCGGGTTACCTTGAGGAATTGGAGGGATGAGGAGTGGATACTGGAGTACCGAGATGTTGGCTGATGAGGAGTCATTGAAGAGGGGAAGATTTTTCTGCGCCCAGTGAAAGTTTTTGCTTGGATGAGCTTCGCGCTGGGTCCATGCTGGACTGTGGATCCCAGCAATAGTTAAGGAGAGGGGAGTGGCCGTCCGGCTTCGGCCAAGATCAATGCCAGGTTGATGTTCTGAGGCCTTGGCTATATATATGTGGGGTTTCGCCTCTCGAAGGGTGTGCGGCGGACCGCCTAGACGACGGGGTCCAATGTGTGGCCCGTGGCGGATGGAGTTTTTTAGCGCCATAATCGAAGCCAATCGTTTATCCGTCTGTTGCATTTGGCAGCCAGTGCTTGGCACTGGCGTGAACAACGCTGGCTTCGGACAAATGGCCTTGCACAGTGAGTGCGTTTTGTTCGTGTGTGAATGTGGGTGGCACTGAGCGACGCTTTCTTGAAATTTGGCGCAGCGGTCTGAAGAGTCCGAGAGAATCGGAGGGGCTGTCGTGAGCTCTTTTCTGCTGTCTGGACCTTTTGGAAGGTCGTGCGAGTATGAGAGGACATGCCTTCGGCTGTTGAAGGACATGGCGACTGCACGTTTGGACGCCTTTTCGTTTTTCCCATACAAGGACTGTACATTCTAACTTGCCTGACCCTTGGTTTGGTCCCCGAGTGGCTCCTTCGGCCACTTGCGCATTCCCATCGCCTGACCATAGCAAACACTTCCCATCCGTTGTGGCTGTTGAACAAGTTTGTGAGGCACGCACGAGGAGGGGAAGAACCTCACAGTGCATGCGACTACCATCTTTATAATGCGTGTGGCTGCTGTTCTGGTGATGTTGTGTCCTCCAAAACGGCGTAGCGTGCTGGTGGAGTGGGCGTGTGCGTGGGCTAATCCTCCTGTCACCCGCATCCTATTCCGTACACACGATTACGGGACGGCGTTGCTAGGTGCTGATGAATGCTGCCGCATGCGGGTTTTCCAGAATGCGGTTAAGTATGTTTTTGGCTGGGCTTGGGGGGGAAATAACTGCACTGAAATAAGGTTATGACGTGTTTTTGGCCGCACGGGAATGATAGTGTTGCGATTGGCAGTGCAGGTAAGATACTATTACTTTTGCTGCTCAAGTTGCACACGCGATGAGTTTCTCTTGCGTCTTTCAGAGCAATATGATGGGTGCAGGTAGTGCATAACGGTGTATAATGTTATGGATAATGTTTACAGAAGCCAATTTCGTAAGGTATAAAGTTCACCATGTTCATATCATAGTACATACAGCTCGTCAGAAGAACATGCAAAAATTAGGGCACGAGTAAAATGCAAATACCCACATGCAAACCTTTACCAAACAAACACCTTCGACCCCGAACGGACAACAAATCATATGAAGGCAATTGAATATAGAAGTGCTTAGCTACTACGACACACAAACCTTCATGGCTTGCCAATTATGTCCTAGTAACATGGAGTCATAGTGGAAATAATTGACACGAAGCGCTATTCCAGCGATATCCATCTGATGCTCCTTTAGGGTGCCTGAGATAGCCTATATCCTCCTGCTTTCCTAGGCAAGGATACCATCACTCTCACCAGAGCAATAACTGAGGGATACTCGCATGTTTGCCAAATAGGTTCATGCGCAGGCCTAGCATTTCCATGAGTTCGCGTTGGAACAACGATTACTGGACCGACACATCGTTGTCGAAAATGCTTCTCGACCGGCCCACGAACATCTGACGAATCGAGTTCCTGTAGGTCTCGCCCCTCTGAACGGCCTCCTTGGTATCCGGCGTGATGCCCGCAGTCTGCTCCGGGTCGACCCTGGCGCGCAAAAAAATGAAATAAACATGAAAACATTCCAGACCGCAGCTTGAAAACTTATAGCACGCCGCTTCCCAACAAACTCCGCTCCATGACGAGGCAAAAAGTGGAATGGTTGCCTCCAGTATGCGTACCTGAAAATGCGGTATACCATAGTTGAAAAGGCGCCGCCTGCGAAGAGGATAGGCACGCTGAGCGCCAGGATATCAGCAGGAATGCCGCGAACGGGGGCCATCGTTTGCTCTTCTCCTTTCAAGAGCCGCTGTTAGCAGCTGGCTGCTGAATAAATATAACGCTGCCTAACAAAGACCCTGTGCAGGTTCAAAGAGCCACAAAAATATACATGTACGTCGGCTGAGGGGCCAAGTTAGCGTGCATGACTCCAGGATGGGCCTGGCCGTTGTCGTTGCTCAGCATACGGGTAACGGAAACCTCACGATCACATAACACGTTTTAAAACTGATTTAAGGGTATGTCTCTTGCATATGTTGTAAACGTTTCGGGGTCAGGTAGTCATTAGGTCGCAGGACGAATCAACCTACAGCTAATTACGTGGTGATTTGCTACATCGACGCGCTTTGGTGACGCCGCTTACCTGCGTAAACTTTGTAATTTTCGTTCATAAACGCTATGCACCACTTTCAGCCTGAATTTCCAAAGCGTCCTTGCTCTACGCCAACGCGTTCCTTTTCCAACTATAAAACTCCTGCCACGTACGTACACGTGACGGCAATAAGTGTGGTAGTTGGTACAACAATTGTCAGAGTGCTGAGAGGGCCTTTAGCCATTCAGACGCTTACAAATGTCCCCAAATCATTCGATCCAACTACTGTTGGGCGTCTGTATCCTAGGAGTGCCCAGGGGCTTGCATAGCACGACGAAAGAGAACAACGTCACAACCGAAGTTTTCAACATTGAAACAGACGCCATACACATCTATACACAAGCAATCCTTGCATACCTGCCATAAACCAAAAAGTGGACCAAGCAACGTCATAATGATTGCCTGAGTCGCCCAACATACCGCTGAGATTTCTCTATCACAAAGCCGAATATATGCCTGGAAACGCTTGTATTAATGTCTGACACGCGCAATAAAGCCTAACCCTACTACAGCACATGCGCTGTGCCACTTGTGCCGTCTTCGACGGTGGGTGTCATCAGGCTTAACCCATTTTAGATTTTCCGCTGTACGGTCCTACCTACCACAATTGCCTGTCCAATTAACTAAATCATGTGCATCCATCAACCATGCCCACCCCGGTCCTCAGCACGCTCTCGTGTACGCATGGGCGTGCTGTATGTCTCCGTAGTAAACTTGCCACTCGGGAGGTTGATGAGACCCTAAGCAAACTAACAAAAACGTTTCAGCAACAACTATTCTCTCCGGTCGTACGCGAGCGCCTGCATCTATCCCGGGAGCAGAACCGTATATGCACGCTACAGGGACCGCAGAGTAGCTGTATCAGAGAACACAGACGCGCTGGCACTTGCTAAAACTGCTGACCCAGATGGCAACAGCTGTGTAAGCCGACACGCAACCAGCCCCACACGCAGACCACCAACAGGCGTAACCCAACTCATTCTACCATCCGCTACGACCAGTTCACAAAACGCATCGAAGCCCAACTTGCCGGGACAGCACTCTGCGAAGGAAAAAGGAGTTCATAGGGACAGCATCAATTACTATGCTAAAGACGCCGCCCGCCCGTCCGTCCGCCCGCTCGCCAGCCCGCTCGCATCCAACATTTCAATCTATGTATGCAATTCCAGATCCAGGCAAGGTGCCATCTACCATCATCATCGACATAATCGCTGCGCCGACCACCGCGCTGAAACTCACGGCGCTCGCCGCGCGTCTTTTCCCCTGCCACCCAGGCCAAAGAAATGGCCGCGCCAAACTGTAATTTGTCCTAAACCGCAGCAGCGCTTCCTTTTTTGACCCTCGTAGCGCCTCACAGCTGCGCCTCCAGCAATCCAGGCTTCAAGGTCTTGAAGGTGAGGTGGTTGGACAGAAGCGCATCTGCCACCGCAGCCGGCAGCCGGGCGTGCGTCTGGGAGCGCCCCAAGGTGAAGGACCGTCAGTAGAGCAGCAGCGACGGCGGCAAGGAAGCAGATGCGTAGACCAAGAGGGGCAGGAGTTAGTAGAAGACCCGGGGACGATGACTGCAGCGATTGGAAGGAATAATAGAACCACGGCAAGAGCAGGAGATAAACCCAACAAGTCCACCAGTGGGCTCGTGCAGCAGCTGCGCACTCACTCGGATGGGCTCCGGCAACGGGGCCCGCAGGGAAGGAATTTCATTTGTCCATTCAGTAACCATCTACAAGCCGAGCTAGTTACGCACCTTAGTGTGGGCCCCAGCCCCCGTGCAAACGCGCAGGAAGCGGCAGCCGGCTGCCCTTGACGCCTCAATCTGCGCCTCGAGCACCGCCACTGCCTCTGCTACGTGAAGCCCGTGCAGGTCCACAAACATCGCCTCGCCACCAGCCGTATTCCCCGACCGCTGCTGCTGCTGCTGCTGGGCCCCTTGATGATGGCTCTCACCGGAACCGCAGAAGGTGGCCGCTGCTGACTCCCGCCCAGCCACGTGATGCTGCCTGGCCTGCTGCCGCCGCGCATGTTGCTGTTGGTGGTGGCTGCTGGAGCCCTTATTGTGGGTGTTCGCCCCCGAGGCAGCGGCGCCATTACGTTGCGCAAAGATGCGTCGCGCGGCAGCTGCGTGCGCCGCCTTCATGGCCTCGTTCAGTTCTCGACCCCTGCGGCCCAACTGCTTGGCAAGCGCCTTGTTGCCGGAGAGGTAAGCCAGGGTGGCCTGCAGGATCACACGGGGGTTCGGGTGAGTTGGATTGCTTCCCACTCCATTTCTTCCTATCCTATGTTCGATTTCGGTTCAGGTATTTGACGCATTTGGTTGAGTTGGGCAAAGCAGGATAGGGCGATTTGGGTCGGGCTTCTGCGTTGTTTGTTGTGGATTCCTTTCAGAAAATACATTGCATAGGCCCATCCCTTCAAGCTCGGCCTCGCACCCAAGCTCTAATCATATATTCTTACCCTACTCATCCTCATTCCGCCATCATCACCTTACCTGTTGAAAGCACTGGTTGCGCGCCCGGGCAAGCATGGCCGCCTCGCGCCGCTCTTCCGCATACTGGGCAGACACCGCCTCGCCCGTAGACACCCAGGGAACCGCCGCTGCCGAGGCCTTGCCCGCGGTCCGGTAGCCGCTGGAGCTGCAGCCACCACCGTCGGCTGCCGCCTTCGACGACGATAACGGCTGCGGTGCTGGCGATGAGGCCGCAGCTGGAGCAGAAGGAGAGTTTCGGAGCATGGACGCAAAATTGGGCTTGGAGGACGAAACAGAGGGGGCCGCGGCGGCGGCAGGTGCAGGTGCAGAGGTGCATGCGGAAAGGTTGGAGCCACCCGTTGAGGAGGCGGAGGGCTCCTGGGGGATTTGGTCGCCGTCCTCCATAGCAGCGCCCGTAGATGCGGAGCCGGCCTGGGGCGAAGCCTTTGCGGGACCCGGGGGGCTAGGGGAGAGGGGCAGCGAAGGGAAGGACTATCCCACACACCAGAAAGGATGGGGGATCGGAAAGGGAGCGAGCACAGAGCGGGAGGGGAGGGAGGAGATTTCTTTAAGGAGAGCTGTGTGTAAAGACCAGAAGGCAAATACATAAAGTGCAAATACATGGGGCAGAAGGACAGAGCGTGGCGTGATGGAGGAAGCGGGGCAGGCACTAGGGGCCGACGAAAATCATATGCAGTGGCTAGGGCAGGAAAGGAACACGGAGCGGGGCACGGTCAATCACGCAATGGAGACGAATAAAATAGATTCCCCACTAACTCTCCGTTCATCCTCCGCCTTGCCGGTCGTTTCTCCGTGCCCTTCAAAGTACTCAACCCACCTCCAAGTCTAGATTAAAAGTTGCCGCGCCGCCGCCAGACCGCCGGGCGGCCGCCGCCTTGCCGCCAGCTCCAGGGCCCTTGCCGCCGCTGACGCCCTTGCTGCGCGAATATTTGCTGCCGCCCGCCGCCGCTCTCTCCGCACCCACATTCCCCTCCATAGCAGCTAGCTCTGAAAACGCTGCCAGGAAATCGCCATTGGTGCGCTCTAGTAGGCGGGTGAGAGCCTCGCCAGCATACGCAGGAAAGAACATCTCCAAGAGCTCAGTCGCGTCTGCGAGAGCCAGAGATTGCAGCTCCTCATCCGCCAGACCCAGTTCGCCGTCAGCGCCCGGAGCAACGGCAGATGACGCCCACTTCGCCGCCGCCGCTGTCGTATTCGCGGCTGGCGCCCCAGACAACTCATCGCAGGAGAGTTGTGGCTGCTGGAATGGCGGCAAAGCTGATGCCGACTGCCAGCCGCTATATTCCTCGGTTCCATACTGAGCACCGCCATAGACGTACGCGCCAGCAGACTCGTCCCAATAGTAAGCCTCCTGACGGTACGACTCGTACGGCTGCGACGCGTCATACGCGTACTGCACGTCGTAATACATTGCCGCTCCCAGGGTGTCCGCCGCCGCGCCGCTGTACGGCACTGAATAGCCATCGTACAGGCTATAAGCGTATGGGTCATAAACACAAGTTGCAGTGCCATCGCATGGGTTCGACTCCCCGCCTTGCGTGACGGCGGTCGCCGCAACAACGTAACCACCGCCGATGCATCCATCATACCCCTGCTGGTCCGCCACTTGCTCTTGCTGATCCATCCCCTGATAGTAGTAGCCGCAGTAGCCGTTTACATTGGTCATGTCGTACGCCACACCGTCACAAAGACCCGGCTGACCCTCCTCCCCGTACCACTGGCCCTCAACGCTGTACCCCTCCCCCGCACTCCAGCAGGCTTCAGCCTCCCTAAACTCAATGCTACTGCTCAGGGTGCTATCGCTGCGCGGCGGTGTGAGGACGCTGCGAGGAGGGTCAGAAGCAGTTGAATCCAGAAGGCAGCTCTTGGAATTAGCACCAGCCGTGCAGCTGCTGCAGCCGACGTTCCGCGGAACGAACTCAGGTGCCTGCGGGCTTAGTTGAGCCTTGGTAGCGTAGCTGCCTGCGGGGCGGTCGCTAACGTCGTTTGCTGTCGTTCCATTCCCCTTTGTGATGCAGTAGCCTCCTGAGTCTGCAGCGCTGTCCCTGGCGGGCGGCACTGTAGTAGCTGCGGCCGCCGTTTTCGGCGATGCCGTTGGCACAAACTCCTTTGCTGAGATGTTCAGCATAATTCTCAAAGAATAGGATGACACCTGCAATACCATTGTAACCGCAGCGTAGTGCGTGCGGAAAGAACGCGCCAGTAGATCAGCCCAACGAACATGTAACTTTTATCGGTTTTGGCGCAAAGCAGGAAGAACGATCAGAGCGCAGTGCCCGTGCCAGATTGATATCGTATGCAAAGCCTATAAATGCATAAAGTTAAAACTCACCAATAGTGTCGGGGGTCACGCCGCCGCCGCCGAAAGGTTCTGCCCTCAGGTCTCTCGACGCTTCTCCACAGGATCAGGAGGTACCCCGTAGAGGTAGTCAAGCGCCCGTCGCACAGTCGGACGCACGCTCCGGAAGATATGCTTGTCTGTACCAAGATAACTGTCCCAATCGAACAGCAGGCAGCTGACAAGCGTTATCCCCACGACAGCACGTGTGGCGACCTTGGTGCGCTTATGATACTTCCTGCTCAACCAAGCTTTATCTTCTTTACTCAAGTTAGGAAGCGGGATTTCTGGGGTCCGTTCGCCACCAGACTCCATAGCACCTACAGTGCCTGTGCAATGCGTACGATGTCCTCGACATTATATGTACCGGTACTATCGGCCCCATGACGCCGTCCGCCGCGCGCGTCCTATCGCCGTTTGCCCGTACCGTTGCCAAACAGTGGTGCCGCAATGGCTGATTACGCAACCTCATGCCCCGTTTTTATCCTCATTTATTATGTCCAATACAACTCACTACAAGTATAGCTTAGGTTAATGTGCATTACTGACCCAGCGACCCACTTCCGAATTCAGTTACATCTTCTTTGAAAAGCTGGGACAGCGGACCTCGATTTGCGAGCACTGTTTCATTTGTTCTGTGCCTATTACTACCCTCGTAGGGAAATCGTGAGCCGACGCCGGGTCCCAGCTTTGAACTTTTTGCAGATCAGCATTTTCCGGCCCTTTCCCCGGCGATTCTATACTAATAAAAGATGCTTCAAGGTTTGAAGGATTTCCAGCTTCAGCGACTGACGGATTTCACCACACTGACCGCAATCGCACAACGAGCTTGGGAGGAGCGGCAGCTCCCAAAGCTTGATGCTGTACCCCATTCCGCTTTTTACACGGCCATCGGCACATTGGTGGCAGCGCAGCTGGTCATGGTGTTGCTGACTCGACGTGGCCGACACATAATTTTTCTAACCGTCGACACGGTGAGAGCAGACCGCAAACTGACGCGCTTCGGGTGAAACGTGTCACGCTCCGGGCGTAAAGTATTCTCGCTTGCAGTCACAGACTGGCTGCAAGCAGGCGAACCAATTCCTTGCTTAGGCGTTTAGACGTGATGTGTATTGCCATTGTACTTTAAAACCCCTCCCCTCCTGGAATCCACTCCCCACACTCGAACCCGCTCACACCCCGCTTTCTTAATTGCTACAACACAATGCGCACCTTCCTCACATACCCAAGGCAGGTTGCTTCATCGCCTCTGTCACCTCACATGCGCCTGCCACCGGCCCCCCCTGGAGCCGTCCTATACAGGTCCTGGCGGTGCTTCTGGTGCTCATTTTGCTTGTAGCCATTCTCAGCTTGCCTATTGGTAGGTCGACCGGAAGACCTTTATGCGTGTTCATCTGTGTAGCAGTCTGCCTGTTTGAGTCCCGACACAGTAAGCATCTGCCTGTTTGCCCACGCCTCCTTCCGCCCCCCTCGCTTTGGATGTCGGCAGTCCTTTCTTTGATTTCCATAGGGCCTCCGCCTCCCTGATCGCCTCCACCCTGTCCGTTCCTCACTTCTCACCTTCCCCTCCAGCCCGTTGTACTCTTTTCCTCTCGACCTTCAGCGACTTGCGCACCTTGATCACCCCCGTTGCTATGTTATGACGGCGCACAGGTGCCGTGTATATTGGTATACGGGGGTCCGTAATGATGGCTCGCTCCCTGTCCGACAACTTCCCCGTGCTGGGACTGGTGCTGCGGCCGCTGTTGGCGGCCTTGGGACAAGCCGCCGCAGCGCCGGTGGCGGCAGCGGGCTCTGCGACGGCCGCAACCGGCGGCAGCTTGTGACACAGGCGTGGAATGTACTTTTTTCAGGGGGCCGTCAACAGCGGCAGATGCTTGGTGCATCGGGCGGAAATGTCCTGCCTATCCTGCACCCTATCCCACCAGCAGCTTTAACAATCTATACTTTGCCAGCTCAGTGACTGCCCGAAGTCCATGGCGGGGGTCGTAGCGACGTTGGGGGCTTTGTCCGCCCGTGTGGCTTGAATACGCGGTACGGCGTTGTACGAACTGCGAAACCCTTGGACGCGCCTTGCAACCCTCCTCTTCCGGAGCTGCCCCTTCCTGCTGGTTTTCGGCGGCTGTGTGGGAAGAGCATGGCAGGTGGGGCTCTTTTGTTAATTCCTTCGTTGTCCTTGCGGAATGGTAGCTGTGGGGCTTTACACTTGTGGCATCAGCGGCCCGTTCCATTCGGGCGCATCTGGGTCTTAGGGTTTGAAATCCTTGTCTTACCTCCTGCAGTCGGTAGCTAGCGTATTAATGTTATCCTTTCTTCTTGCTGTTCAGGTCTTGCTTTTAACTCGGTTTTAGGGGCCTTCGCATTGCTTATCGTAGTGAGCGTATGTTTAGGGGCGAGAGTGGAGAGCTAGTGTGTGTGTGCGTGTGCGTCTCTGCGTGTTTCCATGTTTTTTTGTGGTGAGCACGCGAGGAACTTGTGGTATGAGGAGTTGCATCCCGTAGGTAGCTTAGCACTGCGAAAGATTGTAGATTAGGAAGCGGTCGAGTGGTAATGATCTTGTCCGTTTTGCTCTTTGAGCGTCTTGCATTTGCTTACATAGAAACTGTGGCCTTTATTGTTTACGTTGTTCCATTCTCATCGTTTGACTGTTGAGGTGGGTTTAGCACTTATTCTACTGTTGCTAAACAGGCTTAGACAGAGGATAAATTACAGCTTGGATCGCATTTCGTGTCTTTTTTTTTGTATTTTATGCCCAAGGTACAGACAGCGCTATTACCTTTCATTTACCTTCCTATTATGGACCTTCGACGGAAAGTGATGTATCACGGGTGCACCCTGAACCCAAACATGGCACTGAAACCGACACATGCCCACTCATGCCGGCTCCCATGGGATGACGGAAGGACCCCGACCACGCATCGCTGCACTTTTGTCAATTAAACCTGTACCAGCACCAATGGACCCAGAGCAGAGGGATGCAATAGGTTTAGATGCGAAATGGGGGTCGGTCACGGGAATGCGGACAGGGGGTTTGGTCGCAGCTAAGACATGAAGCAGCGGGGGATGGTTTCCGCTGGAAGATGCGGATAGTCGATGACCGAGAAAATGATCCTTTCAGCATCCCTCTGCCCGGAGTAAACCGAGGAGGCCTACGACGGGTTCATAGGACAAACGGAGAGAGAGATCGGTCAGGGGAAACAGCTATCATACTAGTGATAGCGCCAAGTCCGGAACCTGGCGTGTGTTAAGAGTAGGAGCTCCAGCCAAGAACACCACCCTACCTGGGCATGCCTCACCGCGGGTAACCCATCCATCCTCCTTGTTTCTAGGCCAGCGATTAAGATTATGGCTGGGCGCGAAGGGCTTGTACCATAGAATAAACCCCTCAACCCCTTTGATTTATTAGCAGTCTCGCACTTCCCAGGAGGAATACTGTCACAGCGTACTTTTGGCCGGCCCCTACTAAGCGGCGCCGCTGGCATTGCTTGCCGCATATGGTCGGGAGCTGCAAAAGACGCGGCACCTCATACGCGGCCGCGGCAAGTCGAGCCGAAAAGTCTTCTCCACGGACGGGATTTTCCAACAGACTGAGTGCTTCAGGACCTGACCCAAGCTCTTGACCTAGTGTGCTCGCTACCTTGGCTGCCTCGTTTGGACGCCATTCCTAGTGCTTGATGCCGACACGGCCGCTAAGTAGCGACGATATGCCGTCGCTCGGCGCCTGGCAATCCTGCACCCAGCTGTCCTAAAGCGTACCTGCTGGCAGAACCTTCCACTATCCGTAATAGTCCTTTAAGCACCTAGCGCCCAAGCTAGCAAAGGCGATTCCAATTATGATGGGTAACGGTTTCTTCAACATGGCAGGTAAGGCAGCTGCAAGGAGCACAATTTGTCCGAGGTTTGTCCCACATGCAAAAGTGCAAAAACTATGAAACGGCAGTATTTTGGTCCAGGTGCCTCGGCGGGCAAAAAGCATGTGTCCATTGCCTGTTTAGGTAAAACGTATGGGTTCGCAAGCTATTTGGAATGCACGAAGGCTCCGTTCTCCAACAGCCCAACAATCAACAGTTACTCAGAAGGATGTCTGTACGATGTAACGATGGTGACCTTGTCACTGATCATCTAGGCCGCCTTCCCGCCAAGGTGAAGGTGGTGCTGCGGTGTGTGCCGTGCCGTAAAATCATGGCATTGCACACGACTTTGTACATGGAGATCAGTCCATGCATTTTGCACCACATGACTGTGTCTTGGATGTATCACAACCATTTCGTTAAGGCAGGGTAATGTGCGCGCAGTCGTGCACCTTGACCCAAGGACCGCAATACGGCAATTCTTCCACCAAGTTTGGAGCCCTTCCTCCTTCAGTCGAGCACCCTGCTGCATAAGTGTGATCAGGTGTCTGACGAAAACTGGATCGCACTCTCTGTTGTGTTGCGCACGACAGCCTTGCTTTATAGCTTACCTTGTGCCATCACATGTGAGCAGCAGATAGCTGAATAGCAGCTTACTATATTTTCTTCCAGAACTATTTACAACATAAACCTCTTGCTGAAGCGTATCCTAGCGGAAATGCAATTCCGCACTTACGACAGCTACCAATATCAAAATATTAGGATATCTAAGACAATGTAATTACCTTGGAAATATTAGCTGTGCCATACGACTCCGCAGGAGAACAAGCCGTTTTGGTGTCATGGTTGGGGTTAATACCTTCACAGGGCCTCCGCAAGCAAAGGTCACACCGCTGCTCAACCAGTCCTGACTAACTTTCAAGCTACGTTATATTACATAGAACACGAAATCTCGAGTCAAAACGGTTTGACCACAACAGGATGGACGACCGACAGCTCGCAGTCCTCAGGCGCAAGCTGGACGCGTTAGGCTATTCAGAGCTTCTTGACCCTTCAAGCGCACCTCTGGTGCAAAAGCTCGTCGAAGACTTGGTGCACACGACCGACAGTTATCGGCTCATTAAGCAGCAATGTTCAAAGCAGGCTCAGGAGATGGCGGCTTTCGACACCCGGGTACGTTGGGGGCATCTCACAAGCAGGTCAAACCTATCGACTGCACGCAACGTACCGCCGCTGTGTGCAGCTCGAGGCCGTTCGGCAGGAGTCCGTACGCCTGCAATCGGAGAATAGCCAGCTCCATGTCCTCGTCATGCAGCATGCGGAGCGCCACGAGAAGCAGGCCAGGGAGCATTACCAGGCCTGTAAACGGCTTGAGGATACCATTGCGGAGCTGTCGTACTGGAAGCACTGCGCCACGGAAAAGCTGCAGGCCGCGGAGCGGGAGAACAGCGGCCTCCGCAAACGATGCGCGGATCTCATAAAACTTACAGACAAGCTGGCAACAGGTCAGCATTGACCGGTCTAGTCCTGGGGTGTTGCATTTGGTGCGGAGCATGTTTTGCTAAAGCTCGGGTTGGGGCTTCATCCCTTGCTGTGCAGGTGCCGCGACTTCACAGTTGGTATCACCCAAAATCACCTCACCCGGCCCCATACGTGAGTGAATCAGCCTTGGAAAACCCAAGGGCATCTAACAGGGCTGTAAATTTCGGTACACTGCATGGGCACCCAGGGTGTTTGGAAGGGCCTCCTTGCATCTAGCAGCCTTCAGGGTGCGCATCGAATAGTACAGGTTGTACCCTTCAGGGCGTGTCATTACTGGACTCGGTGAGGCCTTGGACCCCGGCCGATTGCACGAATCTGGACCCCTTGCCGATATCAATACAATAAGCTTGCTTTTACCGTTACAACTCCTACCATGGGTCTCGAGACCGCCATTCAGGCAAGTCCCCTCCGTGCCTACAGGCGCCACGCCGCCACCGTCTCCGCCGCACCCGCGTCAGGCCACCGTGGATGTGCTCCAGGCAGCCAACAGCAGGTGCTGGCTTCTTGGGAACTATGTAACGTGCTGATTCCCGTAGGCGCTGGCTTTTTTGCTTAACCGCGGACCCCGGTTCCAGCTACCGTTTAGGGAAGAAATCTCTTTAAGCGACTTATGCGGCTTCTGTAGCTATGGCAGGAGTCCTCGCCCAACGCAGCGCCGTTTTCTTTCCTTCTGTGCGCGGCGGCTGTTGCTGGTTGGGGTTGCTGCTCAGCGGGGTTAGCTGGGCAAGGGGTCCATAGCTACTGCAGCCGGTTGTGGGTATATTACAAACGTTACGGTAAAGTTCTCTTGATGTTTATTGCAGGATCCTCTCATTGCAACGACAGCTAGCGGACACGACTTCGGAGCTGGAGGCGCTCCGGCAGCGGGCCGCGGACGATGAGGTGCGGTAACGGGCGAGTAGGGAAACGTTAAGGCAAAAGGCCCGGAAACGCCCATCGCAATTTAGTATAATGGGGATCATAAGTCCGGATCAATGCCCGTCGTCTTCGGCATGAAAACATGGGAGGACGCTGCCCCGTGTGCCGGTTTCCCTAGAAGCTGGGAGGCTTAAACTTAGGGAGGAATGCCGAGCTGGTGTCAGGCCTGTTTACCCTGAAGGTATGGATAGGATCCGATAAGTGTGTCATGGTGGCCGGCTACATAACTGAAAAGGAGGTCATGTGCTACAAGTATTCATGGCAGAGTCTGATGCCAGCCCCAGTGGAAACCCCTCCCCGGGCCTTTCCCTCTTGATAACAGGATCAGATTCGTCGGCGGGACGTGGAGATTAGCCGGTTAGGCAGCTGTGTGGGTGCAGATACCGAGATGCTGGCCCTCCGAGCGCGCAACGACGCCAACGAGAGCATGATTCTGCAGCTGAATGGCACGGTGCGCGGTAGTTTGATGGAGTGGTGCTGTGAGTGGTCGTTGGTCACATGTGGACGACCCCGGCCAGTCCGATAAGGATGCCCTTTTAGCCCTTTTTTTGCCCATTGCTTTCCCCAGTTATTGTGTAGATGTAGCGCATTACCAACAGAGCTGTAGGGCGGATGCTCGGCACAATGAGTGCAAAGCCGTGTAGCAGCATTGCGGGATGTAATTCAGCTGCAGCTGCTGCTGCTGCTGCTGTACGGGGCCAACCAAGTACACGCGCTCAGTCTTAGCGCATACGTGGGCCGTTAGTAGTGTCGTTACATATGTTGTGTGTCAGGTGTGCGGCGCTAAGTCCGGCGGTGATGCACGGCGTCCTCTGTTTCGGTGTGTCAGGAACGCTAGATTTTCACACTCAGGCCGCCACGCGGACTTGTCACCCCCTGATGGTAACCTTCTTGCTGCACCAGATCGACTCTATGGGAGCCCGCGTCCAGCAGCTGGAGGGGCTCGAAGCCAAATGTAGCCAGCTGGAGGGGGCATTGCGACAGGCGGAGGCGGCACGGGAGGAGGCCGAGGCGCGGCATAGAAGGTGCGCACGGGCAGAGGCCCGGGGACCCAAGAGCACACCTTGACACGTGTGGGTTGCTATATGGGTGCGCGATGGAAGGCATGATCAAAGGGGTCGATGGACTGCCAGCGTAGGGATGGAGCACCTAACGGTTAAGGGGATGGGAAGAAAAGACAGGGCGCCTAAGCTGCGGCTGATTAGAAGCTATAACTTATCGGGGATCGTCTCCGTGGCCACAGCATATTTCCACACGGCCCATGACCCATCGCAAATTGTACCTCGTCTTGCCTGGTCTCCCGCCCTTTTCTGCACCCCATCCCTTCCTCACTGGTCCCCATTCCTTCCTGTTCTCTACCGCCAACCAAACTCTAGGTCTGTTCAAGAACACGAGACGCTGTCCCGTGAGGTGGGGGCTTTGCGGCGAGAGTTGCTGGTTCTGCAGGACAGCAGCGACCGGGCGGCGGAGCTGCTGGCGGAGGGGGCTATGGACGCAGAAGGCACGCCCGCAAGTGTGAGTGCTCTGCGATGCGATGCGCTAGGCTTGGACCGAGGGCAAGCCTGAGACAGCTCCGCTTCGATTATCTCCAGGTCGCACCTCGGCACCGCTTCCTTGTCAGGTGCAATGCATCCCACCACACAGGCGTGTATACCCAAAAAACTTTTGCGCAGCGCCTTATTGGATGTTTATGTGTAAAATGTTCCCCTTTCTTCCTGCTCCGGGGTTGCCTCCCCTTTCCTGGCGGACGCCTCAGGTGCTCGTGGTGCGGAAGCGCCTTGCAGACGCGAAGTCCGAGCAGGAGCGGTTGTCTGGACAGCTGGCAGCTGTGGAGGAGGAGCGGATAGCCCTGGCCCAGCAGGTGGTCCTGAGGGGTGGGGCCTCGCGTGTAGATAACTAGCGGCGCATGGTGCAAATTACCCCTATCCACTTTTTAGGACTTCAGGCATAGCACTCCAGGTCCCCGCACCTCCGTTTTATGGTGATTGCCCTAAGGACCACAGTCCACCTTCCGCCATCTTCCAATCCCCAGACATACGGCAGGGTACGTTCTTGCCCCTCTTCCCTCCCGGATCCGGCGCTCAACGAATCCCCACCCTCCCCTCAGGTGACTTTGCTGCGCGCTGAGCTGGAGGATTGCCAGTTTCTGTTGACGGAAACCCGGGCTCACGCGGGTCAGGCAGCAGCGCAGCAGGCGGACGAGGCGGACAGGCTGGCTGGAGAGCTGGCGGCCCGTAGCGCCGCGCTCAGAGATGCTGAGGCGCGCCTCGCTCAGGTCTGTCCGGGGAGGTCGGCAGGGGACAGAGGGGATGCCGCACATCCATCACTCCATTACGTCTCACCGGACACGGTAGCGGCGACGACTCCTCAAGCTGCACGAAGTGCTCGACACTCTGTCCCGGTACCCTACCCTGCCTTGCTCCACAGGCGCGGGCCGAGTTTGAGTTGCGCCAGGCCTCCATAGAGCAGGAACACGCAGCGGCATTAGCCAGGTGTGCTGGGTGGCAGCTGATGCATAGTGTGTGACGATCGATAGGGCTGTGGGGCAAATTACGGCTTCCGAGGGATGAGGATCGGTGGAAATGGTGACGTGAAGGGGCCGTGCAAGGGACACGTTAGGTGGCGATGGTTATGGTTGTGTACCCCAGAGACGGACGCCAGGTTGCCCCACCCACTGCTACACGAGAGGGGGCATCATCCACAGTCGCGCGCACTGATTTTGGACTGCATTACTAGGGCCGCTGCCGGCTTTCTACCGCTGTTTCCTACCGCCCCTCCTCCCATTTTAACAAAACTACTGCTGCAAGAGGCCCCTTCCAACCACCAGCATTATCCGATTTGCTCGCACGGTTGTTCCGCGGCGCCAGGTGCGAGGATCTGTGCTCCCGGCTGGAAGCTACGGAGCGGTCGGCGGCAGCGGAACGATCGGCAGCGCTGTCCTCTCAGAGGGCCGTCTCGCGGCTGGAATCGGAGCTGCGGGTGGCAAGGTCAGGGCTGTCGGCGTTGGAGCAGGAGGCCGCGGCACTGCGACAGAAGCTGCAGGTGGGGTTAAACTATGGAACTGTGGAACTTAAACTAGAACTGATGCCGTCCCCCAGGGTATGCATCAGGGAGAAGCTGGAGCCGTAGAATGGATAGCAGCAGTAGAATAGATAGGACAGGAGGAGCGCTCGCGGCAGACTGCTTGCTTGCTTGCCTGCCTGTCTGTCTGTCTGTGCGTCAGAAAGGAACAACAAAGAACGTCGCTGCGGGTTTAACATTCGACATCACGCTCTGGCCGACTGCTCTTGCTGCACGGCTCCCCTGACCGGTTCTAACTCGCTGCCACGGCAACTGGATTGATCCCGTACTTCAAAACGGGGATGATCTTTGCCTTTGCAGGACGTGTCTGTAGGCAGCGTCCGGGCAGCCAGCGCGCTAAGCAGCACGGAGGATGAGGCCAGCCGGGCGCGGCAGCAGGCTGAGTCGCTATCCCAGGAGCTGGCGGAGGAGCGGCGGGCGTGTGAGGAGCTGCGGGCCACAAGGGATCAGCTGCAGGTAGGGGTGTGTGGACGGATGGACGTATTTGTGGGTCTGCGGGAGGGCGACGGTGTGAGCTGTAAGCGCCAGCTGTGTGGGCGAACTTCCGGATAGCGGAGGCGTGAAGCAGCTGGACGCCAGGTGGCCGCTAGGGCGTTGTAAGGCTTGGCAGGGTGATATACCTTCGGCGTCAGCTGGTTCACCTTAGCATTTCATACGTGGAGAGGACCCGCATATTGGCGGTATCCTGTAAGAGCAGAGTGAGGGCAGAGTGAGGCAAGAACTCCCGTCCTTCGCTCTTCCCGGAGTAATTACTACAAAAATCCTAAAACACTCCGCACCCCAGCTGGAGCTGGAGCGCGTGGTTGCGCAATCGGATGTACTGCAGCAGAAGTGCACTATGCTTCAAGAGCAGCTGTCCAGCGCCCGGCAGCAGCTGGCAGCTGCGGAGGCACGTGTCAGTGGCGCCGCGCGGGATCTGTCAGGCATGGGGCCGCTACAGCAGCGCTGCGAGGAGCTGTCGGAGCAGGCGCGGCGGGCGGTGGCGGAGGCCGCGGAGGCGGAGGCGGAGGCCGCCAAACTACGCGCGCAGGCGGAGGTGGCGGCCGAGGCAACGGCGCGGTCGGAGCGGGCGGTATGGGAGGCGCGGCGGGAGGCTAATGTGGCGCGGGAGGAGGAGGCGCGGATGCGGGGTCAGCTGCGGGAGGCAGAAGCAGCCGTGGAGGCAGCGACCAAAGCGCTCAGGGTGGCTGAGGTAGGGGGGAACGGGATGTTGGATGCGACGGTGGGGCTGTTTGGCCGCGAAATGCCCATCTTTCATCAAGATCGGGTCCAACCTTTAGCGAATTAATAGCTAAACCACAGGCGCATCGGGGCTGGCCTTTCACTTGTCATGCGTATATGAACAGCCCGCGGCCAAGGTCCTTCAAATCTTGACCGATGCGGTTTTTGCAACCATTCCTCCATTGGCCACTCTCTCTGCATCTCACCCACCCACTAAACCCAGATTCATCGCTCCTTTTCCCGATTTCAGTCAGCCTTCCCTCTGCTTCCCTCTGCCTCATGCCGCTCCTCCACATGCTCCCAGTTCTATTCGCCGCGATTTTCCTTCACCTTGGCCTCCTTCCGTCACACCAGGCCCCGCCGCACCGTAAACCCCCCAATTGCACTCCTCCCCCAGGCTGCCCGCGACCGTGCTCTGGCAGAATCTCGCCTCAACGCCAGCGATTTGGCCTCCCTGCGTGACCAGCTGGCTGTGGAGGCAAGCTCCGCAGAGGAGGCCGGGTCTACTGTTCGACAGATGGCGGCGCGGCTGACGGCTGCGGAACGCGAGGCGGCGGCCCGGCAGGAAGAGTGTGAACGCGCGGCGGCGGCAGTGTCACAGGCGGAGGCCGCAGCGGCGGCCGCGAGGGGACGCGAGGAGGAGGCCCGGGTGCAGGGCCGCGAGTGGGCGGAGCGGGCACGACGTGCGGAGGCGATGGTGGCAGAGCTGGAGGCGGATGTGGCGCAGGTGCGGATTGCACATGTGGCCGTGGGGTCGCGAAGGCTGCACATTAGGCCTGGGTGGCACAGGACTTTGCCCACCCTACCCCGTCGTCCATATGAACTCGCGTGTTTGCAGTGGCAAATTGCAGTGCGCAGGGCGGCTGCCCATTCTTCCCAAACTTCCAGCTGAACCCGCGCTAACATCTTCTGACACTGCTAACCTTGTCTGACGCTGATCCTTGTCGTACTCTTTGCTCGGGCTCTGGGACCCCGCTGCGTTCCCACACCTCACCTCCTGTCCATTAGGCCATTGTTACCTGCATCTGTGACCAGTCTGAACTCCAGTGTAAGCACCTACTTGCTGCCGGACGTACTGGCTACTTCGGCCCCCCCCCCGGTCCTCCGCTTTCGATTGGGGCTCTGCTGCACCGCTCTTGGCACAGCTGCGGTCGGGCCGCCAGACGGACTCCGCCGCGCTGCGCTCCCTGGAGGAGGCCCTGGCGGCTTCACGGCGGGATAACGACTCGCTACGGTCCCAGGTGGACCAGCTCACCACGTTGGGACTGCGAGGGGACGCCACCGTGCAGGAGTTCATGGCTAATCTCAAGGTGGGCACTGGCGGGCGGGTAGAGTACGCACAAATCGTCAAGGAACCTACTGTCGACGTCCCAAAGTACCAACTGCAGGAAGAGGGATGAAAAGAGGAAGCCGCAACTGGCGCACGGCGAGAAGAGCAAACTGGGATTGGGATGAAGGACATGTTGGGTACTTCCGACCCAGGCCAGAACGCGGAACCACCAAAGGGGGATGAGTTCATGAGAAATTGCACCTGCGTTTGATCCAAGGGCCGATCCAAGCCCATTCGGAGGCGGGTGAAGGACCCTAGGGAGGAGGCCAGGCAACCAATCGCGCTTGCAGCTTACCGCCTTAAGCTTGTGAGTTTTGAGGGCCCCCCCGTCCTGTGACTGCATCCACAGGCCATGTCAGCGGATCTGCGGGCGGCCGAAATGCGCAATGCCGACCTGGCGGGCGAGCTCGCCGCGCGGCAGGATGAGTTGGCGGCCTGGCGGGGTGAGGCAGAGCAGCTGCGGGGACTGCTGCGCTCGCTGGACGGGGACAGGGACGCTCTACAGGTGTGGTGAGCGGTGTATATGGGTGTGGGCGCGTGTGGACGCGTCGGACTCGAAGCTTGGAAGCGGCGGCGGACCAGTGAAGCGCGGTGCTTGTGATTGCAATGTGATTGTTTGTGGCATATGGGCAGGAAGCCTATGACCGCATGACAGCGATGGTTATGCATTAGCATATTTTCGCTTCGTCTCATCTATTGTTGCTGGAGGGAATAAGCGGCCAGAAAGGCCATCCACCCGTGTATGCACTTCGCCCACGTTACGTTGCCGCACATGGCGCCCTGGTGGTCTTCCCCGCGCCATCTCACACGCACACACACCCTCGCTTCCTCCCTCTTCCCGTCAATGCTGTAGTCGGAGTTGGACTCCAAAGCGGAGCAGCTCGCGGTGCTGCAGCAGCAGCTGGAAGAGGCACAGCGGCAGGCAGAGGAGGCGGCCAGGTAAGTTTAGGCCTCTGTTGAGCGGAAACGAGGGCTTAGGCTGAACGGAAGGTGTGAAAGTTCGCAGTTGGCATACCGATCCGCCCCAGACCAGTAGATCGCTGGCTTCATCCAACGCCGACAAGTGCCCCAAAGCGCGCATTGCAAGATGGAAGGGCGAGGTTTGGTACCCTACAGCGCCAGCGTGCCAGCAGCGTTTAGCCTCCCAGCTCTTCTTACATTCGGTTGCCGCCTGGCTCCGGCACCTGGTGCCTGTTAGCAGTCTACAGGTGTAAATACAGAACCCGCGCTTTCAGTTATACAGTTCCTTGTCCACCCTGCTCCACCCTACTCTCCTCCTCGCTCCACGGTCTCTGCCTGGCGCAGGTTGTTGGCGCTGGCCGAGGGGCGGCTGGCGCACACAGACGCGCGCACCCGCGAGGCAGAGGCGGAGCTGGAGTCGCTGCGGCAGCAGTTGGCTGCGGAGCAGGAAGCAGTGCGGAGCTTGGGCGGAGAGCGGCAGGCGCTCCGCGACGAGCTGCGGGCGGTGCATGAGGACCTGGAGATGTTGGTGCGGGAAAACCAGGTGGGCAGAAGCAGAAGCGCCTGGGCGGGGCAGGCAGGCAGACGTGTACCTAAACTTTGGAAGGGGACCCAGCTCCTGCCGAGGCTGAGGATTTGGTGGAGGCGAAGCAAGAGCACTGATGGAATCGTGTTCGTCGTACGTGTGTTTTCTCATCCTGCACTTTGCTCCTGGTTTTCAAACCCAAACCTCGCCATAGGTGGTGAGCGCGGAGCTGGCCAATGTGGTAGGGCAGCGGGACACGGCTGTGAAGGAGTCCCAGCGGCAGAGCGCCCGCGCGGTTGGGGCAGAGCAGCTGCTGCGGGCCAAGGAGGCGGAGGCGGAGGACCTGCGCAGGGTGTACGAGGCTTTGGCGGGAGAGCACCGCAGGCAAGTGCATGTGTGTATCAGAAACACCAGCGGGGAGTGGGCCCCGTCAAGGGTACTGGCGCAAAGCGGGTAGGAAATTTCAGTTGCTCAGATCGCCCAGCCAAAACCACCACAACGGGGGAGCTCGCCTGCTCCGGTACCGCACCTGCCCACACGACGCAAACCGATCCGGGGCGTTGTTGTGTGTGCAGACCGGAGGCTGAGCGGTGGATTCTATCCTGACTTGATAAATGTATTCATCAGTGCATTATGTGCGGGCCTCGGGTCTGCCCGGGAACGGCAATAGTAGGTTACATAGCCTTCAATCCGTTGCCTTTTACCATATCAGCGGCAAGCATTCCGCTTCGGCAGGCATTCCGCTTCAAGCCCCGCGCCGGCGCCTTTGCCGCATCGCACCTCCATTTCGCTCCTTCCTGTGTCCCGTACCCCACCCACCCGAGTCCCGCCCTTTTGCTGTGCGCAGGCTGCAGAGCGGCTACAGCGCGCTCGAGCGGGAGGGCGCCATGAGGGAGGCCGCGCTGCAGGTGCGTTGACGCGTGCTGACGTGTGTGCCGCACGGATGCACTCGTTCTTTTTTGTGAAACCGTGTCTTCCAGGAAAGGCCGAAAAACGTGTCTTTCAGGAAGCACCATCGCCACGGTGTAGGTGGGTAGGTGATCCTACAGCCGGAGGCTAGGACTTCGCCATACTGGCTATATAACTCAAACCAGGAAGTTCAAAATCCGCCGAGCTCACGCACGTTAAGCATGCGCTCCTAGCCTACGGCCACAGCCAACGTGTCCCTCAAACAAAATCACCACATGCACGCTGCTCCTCTTCCCTTTTCCTTTGCCTCCCTCGATCGCCCAAGATGTCCGGGTCTGAATCCTAACCCCATTTACTGCCGTTCCCACGGGGTCAGGGGTTCTGGATACGGTGTTCCGACCTTGCTATCCGTTGTTCCTATTATTGCTAACCTTTATTCCTTTCAACAGGCCAAGGCCTCTGAGGTGTCCAGCCTGGCTGAGGCGCAGCGGGCCGCCCAGGCTACCATCAACCAGTACGTCATGGACCAGCAGGTGGGCATGGAAATGGGGAGATCGGGGAATGGCTCCTGTTTTAAATCCTGTCAAGTGAAAGTGTTTGCTGGTGATCCGGTAGTGGGTGTAAACCGTAAGCATTTGACTTCTTAGATTCGCATTGGACTCGCATGATACAGCGTCCGCTTGTCTTCTTCTTATGCAGCCTCCGCCGGGAACAAGTCTCCTCCGCTTCCGCTTCCACTTCCGCACTGCAGGCTTACGAGCGACAGATAGACAACCTCAGTCGGCAGCTGTCTCAAGTGGAGGCGGAAGGAGAGGAGCTGGCGCGGCAGCGGGAAGCGATACTGGAGGAGCTGCGTGCGGCGCAGCAGGTGATGGATATGATGGGGATAGAGCTGAACCTGGCATCACGTGTGATCGGGATGTGTGGCGGGGCTGAGGGGCGCAGAGGCCGCGGGCTGCAGACTCCGCCACTGCCGGTGTTCTGTGCTTGGTATTCACAAGGGAGGAACGGTCAGGTCAGCCAGAGCAGGGCAAGGCAAGGCAGGAGCGACCGGTGTTGGGAGGTGCCACATAGGTGCCCGCTTACGCATGTGTGCAATCCTGCATCACGGCCAACCCTGGCGGGCCAAGTGAATTGAGAATGGTTGAGAGAGTACTGGGAGGTTGTGTTGATCTTTCCACAGAACTGGCCAAACCTATCGGAACTGTAGCATTCCCTCTTATTTTTCTTTTCTCAAAGGTACGTCTTGGCGTTGAGCGGCACCGCGAGGAGCTGCAGCGGCAGGTGGCGGCTCTGGACAGCCAGGTGGCTATCGGGAGGGCCCGACTGGATGATGCGGCAGCGGAGGCGGCCAACCTCAACCAGCGCCTTGTCATGGAGCGGAACAGGCGAGGCAGGGCCGGGGCCCGGGGGCATGCAGCGGGGCCCCCGCGTGGGCGGCCGAGCGGATGAGTTGGGGTTCTGAAGGGGGGAAAGAACTGGACTACATTACCCGTGTGTCCGATCCATCCTGCGTAACCACAAAGGCGTTAGGCACCACACGGCGTTCTATCCATTGTGGTTTACTCCTAGCTCTCTACTGACCAAGTCTCGCGGGGCGGGGCCCCCGCCCAAGTCTCCCATCACTCTTCATGCCACGCTATGTTACTCCCTTGTGCTGCACACAGGGTTGCAGAGCTGGAGGGTCTGCTGGCGAGTATGCGGGCCCGGGAATTCCGAGTGGAGCTGGCCAGTGACCGCAGCGGAGGCCAGCTGGCGGTCCTGGGGGAGCGCAACAAGGCGCTTGAGCAGCAGGTACATATATGGGTTATGCTTGGGAAGCGGGGGATTCAGGGGGGAAGAGGATGGGGGTTGTGAACGGTGAGACCTTCCGGCAGGCATGCTGGTGGTGGTGAGCGCCGCGGTGCGGCATGAGGGGATACCGTGGAGTGCAGACAAAAGTCCGGAGGGAAGGGTGGGAAGGAAGGTTGGGAGGGAAGGTTGGGAGGGAAGGTTGGGAGGGAGGTGTGGGATGAGAGGGGGGGGTCCGTAAGACGGACGACAGGCGATAGGACAGGGTGGGCCTGCACGACACAAGGACGGCAAGCACCACGTTCACCTTGCAAAACCACCTGCAATGGCCTGCATCCCTACACAACTTGCCTGCGTATCCTGCCACCTGTGTGCCTGATTCCTCCGCATTCCACACTCCTCAGCATCCGACCGCATCCTCCTTCCCCCACCCAGTCTCACTTCCTCTTGAGCTGGGTGGAACAAGATATCCCTACATGCACGTCCTACTCACACCCCATGTGGTGTTTAAGCATGGGGTATATGCTTACTTCCAGACCGACACAGAAACCAAGGATAGGCACCCCGCTATGAAGGGAAGTAGATGCTCTGGAGCCGCTGAATGGATGGAAAACCGCAGGCCCCTGTAGTTTTCCCACCGGTCCCCGCCCTCGCCCCCGGCCCGCCCCCTCCCCCAGGTGTCCTCTCTGCAACATCAGGTGGGGGCTTTGCAGGCCAGCAGGGACGCTCAGGACCGCGAGCTGGCCCGCCTCAGGGCTGAGGCCCTGGCGCTAGCGGCTGCCGCCACTCCAGCGGAGGCCAGCGGCGTAGTGGCGGCCGGGATCCTGAATAAGGACCAGGTGGGCCGGGCATGAGGGCGGGCCCCATATCTCGCTTCACAGAGCCTTGATGAGAACCCCAACAACAGGCAACAGTTGCTGGGGGGACGGTTGTTCTTTCCCGTTTGAGATGCTAGCGCCTTTTACACGCAAGAACGATGATGTCCCCTTGCGGCGATGTTCCTGTGCGCCCATGTCCGTTGCAGGCTGCCGTATTCGCTCGCGTGTCTGCAGAGCGCGATGCTGCGCTGCAGGAGGTGTCCCGGTTAAGGGCCGTGGGCGCCAGCAAGGTGGGTGGGGGCGCGGACGGAGAGGCGGCATCGGATGTGAGCTCCTTGGTGATGGCGGCGGTGGCGGCGGCGTCTTCCACAGGTGCACCGGGATCCTCCTCAGCGACGAGCGCCCTCCACCACCGGGTTTCGGAGCTGGAACGTAGAAACAGCGATCTGCTGCAGGAACTGCGAACGGTAGGTCATGCGGCACCCGGGGGACAGGTGTGGGAAATCGGGAAAGGTAGTGTTGGGAGGTGTTTGCATGGCCGAGGCCGAGGCGCGGCTGTGTGCAGCGTTTGTGTGGCCCTACTGTGACGCGAGGTACCTAGGGACGGGGGACGGGTTTTAAGGAAACAAGAAACGGACCAGACGTATAACCCAAATGATACCGCGATTGTCCAGGCCGGCTGTAAGGTTTCGTTGCCGTTAGTTCTTTGTGCGGAAGAGTGTGGGTTTTTTTATCAGAAGGCATTGTTTTTCCTATCCCGCCTGCCCTCAGCGTCCGGGACCGTGCATCAGTTTTTGTTCCCTTTGTCCCCTTCCATTTTTTGTACCCCTCCTTGCGATCCTCGTTGTGCTCGTTTGCCCTCCCCAGCTCCAGGACACTTGCCGGCAGCAGGAGTCATTGCTGGCGGCGGCGAACAACGAGGTCACCGCACTGCAGGTTAGGATGTGGCATATATCACAACGAGGGGATCACCAGTACCGATGCCGAGCAAGCACGCACAACACTGCAGCCAGTCTGCTCTCGGAGTTGTACGTTCCGAACTTACGACGCTGCCCTCAGCAGCCCTTCGGAGTTTGCCCCTCCTACCTGCAGTATACGCGCTCCTCCTTCGCATGGCCCTGCCGGCCGCCACTACCCCTGCCCTTTGGCCCTAGCCCCACATCCCTGTTCAAATCCGGATTGGGTTCTCCGTTCCGCACCTCCTCCTCCTCCTCCTCCTCTTCCCACTCCTTCCCTGTTCCTCGTCCTCTGCAGTCCGAGCACCGGCGTCTGGTGGAGCTAGTGGCTCGATTGGACCAGGAGAAGGTGCAGCTGACTACGGAGGTGCGGATGCGTGCAAGGCAGGGAGGGATAGAGGGGGGATTATGTGCAAGAAGTATATAGGGTCAAGGGGCGACATCCAGGAGGGAGGGAGGGAGGGAGACAGGGAAGGAAGGGGCCTCAGGACACACTTCTTGTGGCTTGGCACTGGGCTAGCGACCCCAGTGCAATCAGGATTTGGTCTTATAGCTTCCGCAGCCCCTCTCTGACATAGCTCTCAGTCGGCGCCGTGATCGCAATTTGTCCACGTGGCCATGTCAACACGCTTCCGTCCGCAACACACCCACCATATCAGTCACAACGCAAACAGCTCTAGCCAACTCAGCCGAACCAAGCAACACCCTCCACCCCAACCCTATGCCTCCATTCCCACATTCATCCTTTCCTCCTATGATTCATGCCATGACTCACTCATTGTCTTCTTCCCGACCCCCAATAATGCAGCTGAACACCGCAGGTCGCCGCCAGGCGCGTATCGAGCAGGAGGCCACGAACAACATCTCGCGGGCGCAGGGACAACTCAAGGTACGCAACGCGTGGGGGCGTGAAGACGCCTGGCCTTTTGCTTAGCACAGCGCAATCAACCCTAACCAAAACCAAGCCTAGCCGTGAATTCGATTTTAACACTCCGGTAAATAACCGGTTTGCGTGCTGGTGCGTACGTGAGTGGCAAGGTGGGCGGCTGCAGGAAAGAGAGTCCAAACCATGGATTACTGTACGTTCAAGCTCCCGAGGGCACTCACTTCCGCATAGCGTGGTACAGCTGAAGGTTTCTTGCTGCCTCGGACCCTCCAACGGTTTTGAGTGCTGTTTTGCGCCTATTCCAGTCGGTCCGTCCATTCATCCGTGCCACTGCCCTCTCTCCTCCCTCCTCCCGCACACCTCGCTCCCCCCCTCGCAGGAGGAACAGGTCCGTCGGCGGCAGGCGGAGCGAGACTTTCTGGAGCTGCTCTCCAGCATCGAGGGGGCGGATGGGGAGGGTGCTGCGGCGGCGGTGGCGGCACAGCACGGGGAGAACGTGGCGGCAGTGGCCAGGAGGCGTTTGCAAGAGCTGCAGGTGTGGATCTGGAAGTCAGGCACATAGCGAGGAGAAGTGGTTGGGTAATTCATATCCAGACACAAGCCCTGTAATGAACACAGGAAGAGGGATCAAGGGAGCGTCGAACGCACAAAGTAGGCTATTGTTGTGTAACGGCGGAGTGGTGTGGGCAACTCAACGGCAAAAGAGGACACCGAGCCCCAAGGATGCCGGGGATACGGGCTGCGTGGTACCGTACATACATATGTGTGTGTGTGTGTGTGAGGGGGAGAGAGAGAGAGAGAGAGGGGGGGGGAGGGAGGGAGGGAGGGAGGGAGGAAGAGAGGGTTGTTGTTGCAGACTGTACGCAATGTGTGGCCGGCCCTGTAGCGCTCTCCTCCTCTGTACCTTCGCTTAAACCTCATCCACTCGGCGTTCTCCATTTGGCATCCCCTTCTTCTCTTCCTGATCGCTAAACTCCCCTCCCTGCCTCCCTGCCTCCCTGCCTTCTTTCTTCCCCATCCACAGGCGCAGGTGGACGCTCTGGAGGGTGAGAAGGCAAGTCTGGAGGAAGCCACCGGCCGGGCGAGGGTTACCCTCGCTGCCATGAGCGCTCAGATGGCGGGGATCCAGGCAGACTACGACAGCACCAACGCAGCGCTGTCCAGCATCACGGCCCTGGCGGCGGCAGCCGCAGCGGGTACTGGGCGGTCAGAGGCCGGAGCAGCAGCAGCCACACCGCACCGCACACAGATGTTGCAGGCGGGACAGCTGCAACGGAGCACGGCAGGCGGCGGGGCAGCAGCTTGGGGCCCGGGTGGTGGGTCGGGAATGTCGGTAGGAGGCTTTGTGGCAGTGGGAAGCATCGGGGGCGGGCCAATAAGCTTGGGTGGCGTTGGGGTTGCGAGTGGGGGTGGTGCAGGGACGGGTGGCGGGGCTCTTCCGGCTCACGGGCAGAGGAGATGATGAGGACAGGGAGACCTGGATGGGGCTCCGGAGGGAGACGCGCGCACATGTCGCTAGAACCCTCGCCGCTATGATGAACCTGCGGTGCAAGATCAGCAGCCGCGGTTGAACCGACCGGACGTCGACGTGACCAATTCCGACACGCTCCGGGACCGGATGTGTACCTTGGCGGGACCGGGATGAACTGGAGCTCTTTGGACTTACGAGTGGACTTGCAGCTTGAGATCCGTTGGCGCGACCTATATGTGTGTGCGAGGGCTGCATATGTCGTGGTCCCATGATCCGCGATTTCTAAAACCTGATTGGTTTCCCCAATGCTCGTGTGGTCGGTTGCTGCGTCCCCCCCGCGTGGGCAGCAGCCCTTGTCTGCGTGTCTTGGAGGAGTTGCGAGAGGAACCCAATGCGAGGTTGTTGAAATCTTCACAGCTCTAGTTCAGCGGCCGAGCATCATCATCGAAGACGTGTGATGCACAGGCACTCGTACAACCCCTGCATCTTGTGCGTGCTGTGGGCCGAGTTGGTACGCTCAGTCGCAAGGCTGTGCAGCTGGCTCCATTTGCATGCTCCTGCAGGGATACATCACGTGAACGGTGTACCGTAGCTGAAAGCATTGGGCCTTAACTTGTGATTTTTTGCATGGAGGTATTCGGGCGCAGCAGGTACGGCAGTCGTACCGGCTAACGCTCACCAATTTTCGGATCATCCATCGACGCAATAATGTACGTACGTTTTTGCACTGAGCCCTGGTCTGCACACAGCAAATGTAACTTGCTGGACCGACTAGGGCCTTGCGCTCCCGCGTTAACCCGCGTTATCCAGTGAATGACCTAAATGCATAACATCTCTCGCGAAGGACAAGGACAGTGGCGGGACTGCACCGCAACCCATTTCGACAGTAATTCTGATCAAGCGCCATGATTCTGCGTAATTCCTTTCCTCTCATGCTCCATTCACTTGGGGGAAATGACATGATATGTGACATGATATTGACCAAATCGCTGCCAAACCTATCGCGCGGCACAATGCCGCACCCCCTCGCAGTGACCATCTGTGCCAGGGGTGTGTGTGTTTGTTTGTCAGGCATCCGTCCACGAGAAGGGCGCTTCCGGTGGCGGTTGGCATGTGAGGCTATGGCTGTTACGGATGGGATACAGCGACGGATTGCGTATCATGGTCGAGCTCTATGGGGATGTTCTGAGCATGTTTGCCACTTCCCCCCCCCCAATACACACACAGAGGCACATAGTGCTCCTAAGCGCCCAGGCATGGGGGCGATCGTGAAGCATGCGAGGTCCTGCTGTGTTTCCATCCTGACATGGCTGTGTGCGAGGCAGTGTAGCGATCGCCCGTGTTAAGGAATTCAAATCCCAGATATCTTTCCCCCCGGCGGATTTCGGCGAATGGCTGACTGGCGCGATTTCGGTCGGTCAAACAGTTGGAACTAATGGACATGTAGGAAGTACGGTTTTAATGCTGAAAAGTCAAAACCCGCACATTACCTATGCTGCAGTCCGTAGGCGGATTCAAGCTTAACTCATCAGGTTGCAATCTGATAGGCGTGTACAGATTTATATCACACGTTTGGAAATAAGCTTCTACAGTCCAGGAGAGAAAATAGCAAAACTAGCGACACATTCCGAGATGTCCTTTTGCTCTTCAAATTAGTGTGGGTGTTCCTAGGCCCATCTCCAGGGTTAATTGGGACAATGTGCATATACACACATGCACATGCCCTGCCCAGCGTCAGGCCCGGCAAGATACGCAAGATACGCGGCTACGCATACACACACATATACACGCAATGACGTACATCCCTGCCCTACTCTACTCTCACGGTATGATGATAGGCATATGCAAGGATTTACCTAAGACGGTGACACATTCGAACAATTCTTTAGAAGCAGCGCCATAGCATTGATATGTCTATAACACCTATATATCCATTGTCATCCTTGGACGGGAGCGTGTCGAACCCCGAAGCCTAACTTATCCCTAACGTTATCTCCCCACATACCCTGCCCTGAAATCCCACTCCCTCACTCTCTTTCGAAATATTCCACCGCCCGCAGCTTGACCCGACTTCGACTCCGATTCCGACCCCGATTCCGCAACGCAAAACAACACCCGGAGTGGTCAGCAACCCGCCTCACAGAGACATTTCGTTTTGTGGCGGTATCATGCAACCCCCCCCCGGGCGGCTGAGCCCATGAGCAGCAACCCGTCTTCCCTCCCCTTGCCTTCCCCACCCCATCAATCCTCAATCCCACTACCGCAAGCACCTCACACCACCCATCCTTTCCTTTCGCTCGCAACAATGCTCAGGACGTCCCCTGAGCCCCTGCTAGCCTTTTCCTCAGGGCCATGGCATCAACTGCCAGTTGTTGTGTGGTGATCTGGCCAAACTCCAGGTTCTGGGCGGCCTTGACGGTGGAAGAAATCAAACGTGCGCCGTCCTGTACGCCGCCGCCGCCGCCAGCGGCGCGAGCGGCTGCTGCCGCCGCCGCCGCGGCAGCTGCGTCCGGCACCTTGAGCCTCGGCACCCTGGGGCATAGCGAGGCCGAGCGAGAGATGGTTTCAGAGCTATGTGGAGGAAAGAAGAGTGCAATGGTTTCGGAATTCGGACATGTTGAGGGGAACGAAGGATGTGTTTCAAGCTAACATGCTATGGGAGCTTCCAGAGATGTTTGGGCCCCAGGAAGGGCTCAACGAGTTGGCTGCGAGGTTTCGGAGCCTGGGCTGCGGCTCCAGGATGGACTGTGGGACGTTCGCGGCGGGGCGCACGCGGCCTTCCAAGGGCTTCCCCCTCCCCCCATCAGAGCATCCATCCGGTAACTTTGGCCTCCCTCTTCCCCACATCCTCCCCGGCTCACTCGCCCCTCCTCCCTCCCGTCTGTCTCTGCTCACTTTTTACCCGTGAACACCTCGTACAGGTGCTCCAAGAGCGAGCTGGCGGCCCCGTGCACTCCCTGAATGGTGCCCTCTACCAGGTCGACCGGCAGGCTGATGCCCTGTTTGGTGCTGAAGACCTTGAGCTGGTCCCAGTTGTCGCGCTTGTAGTGACTGGAGGTGGCGTTGGCAAACGAGTGCATCTGTATGTCCGCCTGAGGAGGAGGAGGAGTAGGAGGAGAAGGAGGGGGAGGCGTGTAAGGTGATGGGAGGGGGGAAGGAGGAAGGAATGGAAGCGCGTCTGGCTGGTGGATGGTTTGGGAGTGTTAGGGGCGGGGTGGGGTTATATTGATATGGGTGTTGGGTGTTTGTCAACTGGAGTTGGACGGACTGGTGGGTATGGAGGCTCTTCAGATGCAGCAGCAATCCGCTTGTGATACGGAGGTTATTTGGTAACGGGGAGGGTTCCAGGGTTTACGAATGCGACGCCAAGTGTAGATGGTGGTAGCAGGGCCAAGCCCCCCATGACTTCCGACCATTAGGCTACAAAGCCACATAGCTGCTCAGGCATGAAGCTCCTCACCGGGAAATATCGTGAAAATATTTCAGCGACGAGGAAGCCATTGGCTACATCTCTGCGCACGGAGAGGGTACCGACGATGCCGTTTAGCATCCGTGTGCGGATGACCGGTCGCACAGCTCGCAATTTAAAAATCTCAGAATGGTTTCACACAGTTTCATTCACAGTCACCTTCGACAGTTTTTTAAGGACTGGGAAAGGTCCAAGCCTTGAACCCATTTCAGGACGTCTCGATGCAAGGCCGGTGTGTCAGGTGGAGATTCATACCCAAATACAGTATTGTCTTCAGGACGTTGCTTTCGCCCTGTTGTGCTTGTAAGGCTCGTGGCAGTCTGGTTAGTGAGCGTTCTATTTGTCATTTGCGGGTTTCAATGCCAGCCACAGCTATACTAATATGTAGATTGCTTATATCTCATTCCACAGAAAACAAAAACAGCTGCAAAGATTTGGCAAGAATGCTCTATACAAGCCTTTGCGTCGAAGTGCAAGTACAGCAGAGTCGGAATTAGTTGAGCCGATAAGCCTGTTCGGTACGTTGCACCGTGCTGGTCCACACTACTGCCTGAAGGCATTTATGCCAAAGGGTCTATGCCGCAGTAGCCCACTTCTTCCGGATGTTCCGGCTAATCGCCTTTATCGCTTGAACTCCTGCACACTTGCACACGGTGCCGATCGGCCGCCTGCTGGCTGTTGGCATTAAACTAATGCTGGAAATTGTGCGTTGGCAGGGACCCGCTGCCACCTTTTGCTGCTTTTCGAGCTCGCCCTCAACGGCCCTTGTAGGGCCTCCTCTCCTTGCAGAACATCTCTTTATCATGTTCTCAATCAGCCAGGAAGAGCTGGTTGCTTCGTTGGTATGCTACGCACGTTCATTGTGCGACTGGTTGGATGCCCTTGCACAGACAGCTCAGGGGGGGCCGCGTGCGGAACCAAATTTCCCTGGGTGCTTTGGTAGCGTGCTGTGTTCCAATTACGAAGCTTGCTACACATAGAGAGAACACTTATTTAAGCATACCCCATACCGCGCAAGGCAAAGATAAGGAAAGCAATGACGGTGCAATATACGGCCCAAGCTGTTAGGGGTTTAGTTAACATGGGTCGGTTTCGTGGCCGGGGACAGTCGATTTAGGGCTTTCTTCTAGCTGGCCTTCCTAGCCACGACGACCCACATGCAAATGACCCCCCACACGCCATTGCCGTGTACTTCCATCCACAGCTTCAACGGCTGTAGTGACTCCCAAGCCTACATGAACGCGGCCAGGGGGGGGGTACTGTGATGGTGATGGCGACGACCGAGGCAGCATGCATGAGCTCCGCCTCTCGCGCTCCGCGCCATCAGGGCGCATGTCATGGGCCTCATGTGGAAGCCTCATGGGCCGGTACATGTACTACTGGGAGTGCGTACTGTACCCCTGGTATCCCTGCCCCTGGCGCACTCACAACACCCCCAAACCAACGTGCGCAACCGAATGACCCGAAATGTCATCATGCGCGTCGGTGTACATTGCCAGGGCACTCGCACCCATGAGCCAGAGCCCTCCTATGGGTGTGCCCGATAAGCTTGAACTTCTTGGAGAGAAGTAGATAGGCGAGTAGTTAGTTATTGCAAAGGAACTGCCGTGGTGCGTGGAAGCAGGGCGCATGCATGAATGTGCCGGACCACAGTACGGCAGAGGATTCCAAGCTTCTACTTGGGTCGCACATGCGCATTTGGTTCTTTAACTGCCGTTATTCGGACTATAAGAAAGATGTGTGCTGATGCAGTGACCGAGGTTTCCCCACTCACCCAGGGCAATCCCTGGATTGCCACACCGCAGCGGTCCCTGCTTTGTCGCTGCTGGCCTCGGGTGGGTCACTCTTGTGGCTCTTCGGCCCTTGCCGGGGCCCTTGAGGTCCTAGGATTCTTTAACGGTGCAACACAGGTAACTGCCAGCACTATCGGCCACTAGTGCAACTTTCACAATGGGTTGGTGTTGGAAGGGGGTTTCGCAAACAGGTTGTTTGCTACCAGGCCGAGCTGGAGGCTGGTGGTTTAGTAACGCAGCACGGCAGGACCGAGCAATAAGCTCCCCTGGCGAGTGCCGAAGTGCTAAAAGGCGCCCGGGAACTGCCAGAAGGGCGCAGATAATAATATTAGGAAAACAACCGAGGATGGACAGGAAACCGTCCGAAAGTCCCCAAAGCAAAAGGCAGGATAACCGCCAACGGGCATGTGCGCGGTGAATCTTCCAATATGCGCTCCGTTTGCCGCTAAAGGACAGCAGCAGCACCCAAACTGCATGTCGCGGCCGGTACGAACATCCGCCTGGAGACAGCCTCTAAGAAGAAACGTCGCGTTCGGTCGTTAGCGAACGGTCGGTGACTCATTGAGTACTTGTATGTTGCCACGGATGGTGTCATATGACGGAAGGGGTTCAAAACGGCCTTGACCCCGTCGGCTCATCAAACGTTCCTGCAATGCTGTCGTCATGATGCATTCAGGCTGATTTGTAAGGACCCAGGACACAACTCGTTGCTCGTTGGCTGCTGCCACAAGGACGTGGATACGCGGTGGCAGCTGTTGATGGCTTTATCCGGGGGAATATCCGGGGGCCTCGTGGAGAGCTTGGCGGAGGCTTTGTCAAGTTTCCCACGTATCTCATGCAGATGAGACGATCCCCTCCCGGCTCTGCTGCATGAAGACGTATGCCTTTTAACTGGGCGTTGTTGGTTTGTACAGCCCTCCTCGTGCTAGAGGTTGCATAATGTTTACTAAAGCATGGTTGGAAGAGAACACTCAGCAGGGCGCATCGGGACAAGAACAGCTTCTGATTGTGGCAGCTTGATTCGTGGGAAATAGGCATGACAAATAGGTTTCCTATATAGTATGATTACATCTACAGAGCATCCAGGAAGCGTATGGAGGCTGACTGCGGAGTTGGTCATGCCTCTGGTCGTTGCTACAGTTAGGGAATGAACTTTGCGATGGGGTAATCGGAAAGCGGGGTTACATATCCTGTTGAATCCACCTGTTTGCTTGTACTGCTACAATACCTAAGATTCAGTCGCTAGAGCAGTTTTCGGTCGCTCCGCGACCAGGGCCTCTCGTCACTTGAGCAAGAGCAAATTGGCAGCACAGCTTCCCCAAGCTAGGATGCAACTATTGCGATTCCGTACCCTGCTGACGCCTACGGGCAACCTGCTGAGCTAGATTGCGTGCCCCAACTTAAAAGTCCCGCAAGATCTGTGTTTGCTATCCAAGTCTACGTTTCTGGGGCCAGGCATTTGACATTGCACTTATATTAACGGTTGCCGAATATCATGGCTAGGCGGTATGATTCACGCACAACAATTTTCAGCCCTGAGGGGCGCCTGTACCAAGTGGAATACGCGATGGAGGCCATTTCCAACGCTGGCGCTTCCATTGGCCTGCTCGCGAAGGATGGTATCGTGTTGGTAGCAGAGAAAAAGATCACCTCCAAGGTGAACTCGGCGCGCGCGATCGTGGCTTTCTCCGCTACCTTTATCTTGGAGCCAACCACAACGTTTCATGTATTGCTTGTGCAGCTCCTCGATACACATGCGGTGGGCGTCCGCAGAGAGAAAATGTATCGGATAGACAACCACATTGCATGCTCAGTTGCCGGCATAACAGGTGAGTTTGTTGTGGCAAAAACCCAAACCGCCCCTTCCACAACGTGATGTATTGAGCTGCTCTAACGCTGTGGGCTGCACCTCATGCCCTTTTCAGCTGATGCGAACATCCTCCTAAACATCTGCCGCCTAGCCGCCCAACGGTACCTGTTCGCCTACCAGGAGCCCATGCCGGTTGAGCAGCTCGTGCGCAACGTTTGTGACACCAAGCAGGTAACCACATGTAGGCGGCAACGCATGCCTCTGTGCGCGGCTACGGCTTGCCGTACGCCAGGAGGGAGGTGGCCGCCTCTGGACCCCACATTCTCCTCTCCTCTCCTCCCCACCGGTCATCGCATTCAATTGCACATGGCTCCTGAACTCTGTCTCTCTAACCCTCCTGCTCTCCACAACTTCCGAGCTTCCCCTTCCTCTGTCACCCAAATTTGGCCCACTTCCTAACCCACCGCCGGCAGGGCTACACGCAATTCGGAGGGCAGCGGCCGTTTGGAGTGTCCATTTTGTACGCTGGATGGTACGGCAAATGGACGAGCGAATGGGTTGCTTTTTGGGCTCGGGAACCATCTCAGGCTGTCGCGCCAATGCGGCCCATTTCGTCTGGTGACCACCCAGGGGCGCTACGGGATACCCCGAAATGTGGTCTAGTATGTGTGCGTGTATTGCTCGTTGTGCCGTACCTGGGACAAGGCAAGGATAGTTTAGGGGAAGGCCAGGTCGGGTGAATCTCCGTTGCAGTGCCGGGTGCGATGGTGGAGGCTTTGGGTGCCCTCACGGGGCGGGCTGAAGGGGTCGTGGGAGCGGCAACGCTGGGAACCACGTTGTGGGCTTTAGGCCGCCCCGGTACTTGCTGACCACGTAGCAGCTGACATCAGCAAAAAGACGTGAGACGAACGCAACAGGACAGCGAGGCACTCCTCACAACACTGCACAGCGTATCAAGCACTGGGTGTTATCCGGAACCCATGATGCTGGGCTGCCAAGGGCCCGGCTGTCACAGCCTCTCTTCCGCTATCGCTCCCCTGCGCCATTTCCCTCCACGAGACACCTGACTGGCGGGTACGGGCTCCGTATCGACCCCCCTCCCCTCAGGGACGAGCACTATGGCTTCCAGCTCTACCAATCAGACCCCTCGGGTAACTACGGCGGCTGGAAGGCGGTGGCCATTGGGGCGGGGCACCAGGCGGCTAACAACCTGCTAAAGAGCGACTTCAAGGTGGAGGCTTGAGGGGCGTGGGGTCCAGGGAGGCTTGTTGAGGGGATGAGAAGGCAGCAGAAAGACCGAACAGGTCTTTGGGCCGTCGGGGGCCCGCGGGAAATGGGGGAGCTGGGGTGAGGAGCCCCATGATGGAACCGCCCCATTGGCATTAAAACGGGTTGTTTGGAAGGTGTAAGACGAAGCACTGACGGTTGAAGCAGATACCAAATATAAGCTTGTACTCCAGGATTAAATAGATACTGCATCAGGAATATTCCTAAGTTACTGACCAATGATGACTTGGGTAGTAGTCATGGAGCGGGGTTTACATGCCGTGTAGTTCTCAACCTCCGCAACTCCCATCCACCTCCACTCGGACCCCTTCGGAAACCCAAAACCCTCCTCCCTCCCTTCAGGAGGATCTGCCGATGTCTGAGGCCATTCCCTTTATCATCAAGGTCTTGGCCAAGTCCATGGATACCTCCCTCACGCCGGATAAGGTGGAACTGGCCACTGTGACGCGGGACCCGGGAAGCGGGGAGGTAAGAGGGGAGTGCGTGTTCAGAGGCCCATGAAACGGGCCTGCCCGCCCCATGCTTCATGTCGCACCACGTTGCCCAGGCAAAAGCTTCTTCCAGACGCCGCGGGAAGGCTCAGTTCTGTATGTTCAGGCCCCAGGGATGGGCGGCCGACCAGGAATGTGTCTTTTTAGTTCCTACCTTTCCGCTGCGTCATTGCCACCAGCTTTTTGTTGGCCTTTGTTACCGCTGTATTGTTCCTCGCTCGCTGTGTGCTCCTCTTGGGATGTAACGGACGATTGGTCTTTCCTATTCTTCCATCGCCTCCGCTTGATGATGATGGTGGGGGTGGGGGTGGGGTTATGTGGTCACGTCCTGAAAAGTGCTTTTTGACTCTCCGTTCCATTCCATTCCTCGCCGCCTCACGTCACCTGACCATTTGTACAGGTGCTGTACAAGATTTACGAGGCTGCGGAGTTGCAGCCGTTGCTAGATGCGGCCAACGCAGAGAAGGAGGCGGCGGCGCAGAGCTGAGGAATAGGGGGATGGTGGGAGCGGCCATGGCGGCGGGTGCGGCAGCGATAAAGCAGTAATGAGGAGGGTTGTAGATTGCGATTGGGCCAGCTCGCCGGGAGCTTATGGGGAGGACAAGGGCGAAGAGAGGACAACAACGGAATTCAGGAAGGAGCTTGGGTTGGTCCAAACTGAAGCGGGAGAGCCGGGACGGACGCCGTTCTTCGGCTGGCCGTCGGGTTTCATGGTGTACCTATGTTGGGGGTTTGTCTCGAGGGGGATTTGTCTCGAGGGGGGTTTGTCTGGGGTTGCGACAGGGGTTGGCTAGTGGGCTTTTGTAATCGCCGCGGCGCTGTAGCGGTCATCTGCTGCTGTTCTGTAGGCCCAGGGTCGCACATTCGGTTCGGTGATCATCGTTACGACAATGGTGATGGTGATGGTGGGATAGGGCAAGCAGGGGCTTGCTCTCCCCACGAGCGGAGCAGGCACGCAACACAAACGTTGGTCCAACCCGGAGTTGGGAACCGCAGAAAAGGAAGAAGAATATGAAGATGAAGAAGGATGCGTTTTGCTGGCGTGATGGAAGCTACCAGTGGGTGGTGTGGGCAGCTGGGCGGATCGCATGGGGCAGCATGGGCAGCAGCACTAACCAGGCTGTTTTATCGCCGCCAAAAGAGAAGGGCAAAACCGGCCTTAAGAAATGACCTTCAGAGTCGAGCAGTGGACGATAGAAATATTGCTTTAGTTAGCGCAGCCCTTCCGCCAAGTTACAGGTCACACTGTATGACTGCAAAGCAACGCTGTGCGCTTTGTGGGTTCCTCTGACTGCAATTGCAAGTGAAAAGTTGGCTTCTGAAGCGCAATGCTTGAGGCATGGGCTTCCTCATGTGTTTTACCTGTGGGTCCAAACCAATGGCATACATGAAAGCAAAACTCCTTAGGGCGCAGCTGAGAGCGGAGCGGTTTGAACGGGATGGCAAAAACCAAGGGAGACCGAAATCTCTCCCGGAAACGTAAACGAGATTGCAGGCCAGATGATTGCTACCGCTCATTATGGGTGATGGTTAATCCAGAAGATCAGTGGAAAGCTGATCTCGCCAAGCGTCCCAGCAGCAGTGCGAGATTTCAGACCCTGTGGGCCGAAGACAGCACGCTCTTGGTCCCGGTCAAGATAGCTGGCAACTTTTACAGAAATCATCAAGCATAGTGCTTTGGCAACTAAAGCGCTGCAACTGCCGTAACAGCAAATGACGCAATCCCAGGCGATCCTCGATCCAGGGTTGGCCAACAAGGTGTTAAAGGAGGCAGTAAGCGTTGGCGGTCGCGACACATTAGATCGTGGCCGAAAGTCAGGTAAGACTTACCAAACCATATTTCGATCCAGTTGTTTTCCCTTCTTGCTCCCAGCAGAACACGTGGCCCTTGCTTTGCGCACCTGTTCTGGTTCGTTTCGAAAGCTCCAGGCATACGCCACCCTTTTCGTTTTGAACCAGACCGAGCTGCTGCTTTACGCGCTCGGGGCTTCCCTTTCTTCCGATAGCACAACGACTATGAGGGCGGCTATCGCTGGGCTTCCGTGGCGCCGTATGGCGCGCGTGGTGGTATCTTCTGAGCGACCCGCGGGTCGCTGCTGCTTCGTCAACACAGGTACGGAGCAGCGCCTAGTGGTCACAGCGGCTGCTGTATAAACTGCCAGGACCGCGCCGCTTTAGATTGTTGAACTGTCATGCCGCATCTAGTCCTACTGCTACTGCTCTGGTGAGATGCTCGGACGTCAGCAGTAGGCAGCCGGAACAACACCGGGAGCAATGCTGACATCAGCGTATCGCGGTGCTGCTCACATCGCGTGTGCCCAGACTCCCATTTCCCCAACACGCAGTTTTAACGAACACCGAAGCAGCAATAGGCTGCCCCAGGCCACACTCCTCACTCGGCCTCCCGGTATTCGCTTACGGAGGACGGACACGATTTCAAGCACACACTTTAACACACACACACACACACACACACACACACACACACACACTAACACACACGAGCCCCAGTATCCATGAATAAAGTATGAATAAAGCAACCAGCAACCTTTTCCCATTCCTCAATGTAAGCTGTGACCGTAACCTCTACCTGAACCTCTTCGGTGCCCCCTCTACATACACCTTAACCTTCTCACGGTGTTTTCTCTCCCATCATCGCATCCAGCAGGTTCACCTCCCGCACCCGCGCTTCCTCTTCCCCAGCTGTCGCCACTGATGTCGCCACCGGACCGCACCTCCCCATCCTCTTCTCTTCCGTCCCTCCACCATCACCCCCATCCCCTTCCCCACCGGGTCTCTGTCGCCGCCCGATGCCGCCGACCCAAAAGCTCCTCCCACACCGGTGATCACGAGTACCCGGGGCCGCACCACCCCACACACAGATTCGGGCCGCTAGCGGAGCCGGTTCCGCTGCCGCACCCGCACCCACACGCACACCCGCACCCTGCCCGCCGCGACCCGGGGCCGCACCCCGGGCCTCTGGAGCCGTTACCGCCGCCACCTAGGGATCTGTCGCCGGAGATGCTGTCCGCGAGTAAGCAGGCGTTTCGCAGCGGCGGAGCCTCCACTGCCGCCGCAGCCGCGGCCGGTGGGATCCTCA